TATAACTGTAAATTTGTTATTCCCTGTTATGGGAGAAAGCAGCTCTACTAGATATTTAGATAGGTTGTACGTGGGGGAACCAACAAACGACACAATCGGTCGTAGAGGACAATCGGGTTGATATTGTTATGCAAGTCGGAGGTATTTGTTTTTAAACGCCTACAATGCAGTAGCTCTCCAAGAACCAAGAATGTCAGCCGGCGACATGCGCATTGCGGATCATGTAGTGTACGCCAGCAAACCACATGTGGCAAGAGGGTTTCCGCGGGCAGCACTACTGGTGCGTCGAGAGTTGCCACAAAGTGAGGTGGACCTCAATGATTTATGCACTGAGAGTGCGCAGTTCGTGGCGGTGACGGTGGAATGGAGAAGACGTCCACTCACCATTGTCTCGGTATACGTGGCCCCTAACGCACCCTGGGACACCCATGTACTTGCGGACATTCGAGTCCGAGCCAAGGGAGACCTTATAGTAGCCGGAGACTTCAACGCGCACTCGCAGTCTTGGGGAGACAAGCAAGATTCCCCACGGGGACGGGAGCTACAGGCAACGGTCGAAGCACTTGACCTGAGGAACATCACAAATGGGAGCCAGACGTTTATCCGCCCTGGAGTGACGGGAAGCGTGATTGATCTCACCTTCACAACTTGGTCTTTGAGGCTCAGTGCAACCCCTCAGGCGGACAGCTGGAAGAGTGATCACCTTCCAATTGTAATTGGAAGACCGCCGAAAGTCCCCCTTATGACTTGCCAGATAGTCGACTGGGACCCCTACAGGACACTGCTTGGAGAAGCACTAGAGGGTGGATTTCCCTTCAATTCAGAAACACTGTCGCGCGTCCTCAAAGAAGCCACCCGTCAAGTCAGCGTGCCATTAACACGTCCTAACCCTGACCTCGAATGGCTTAAACTCCGAGCGAGAAGACGGTGTGCCCAGCGAAAGTCATGGGTCACCGGAAAACCGGAGGATACCCTGGCCTATAGGCGACTGGATGCCAGATTCAGGAAACACGGAAAGAAACTGGCGCGCCGACAATGGCGTCTCAAGTGTAGTACTCTAGACAGGCCGTCCGGAGGAAGCCGGGCTTGGAGGATGTCGAGAACACTGGCGGGCCGCCCGATTCCCCGAAACCCAGTCCTAGGAATGGCCGTGGCCATGAACCTCCGACCAACGGACATGGTAGAACTCCTCACGGATACTTTTACTAAAGTTCCGCTGGTACCGACAGTGGGACCACCCCCCGAGAATTGGGACAAGTTCCGTCATCCCACGGCACCTCTGATGCAACAACCGGACACCGACTTTACTCTGCACGAGCTGCAGTACGTCCTTGATTCCCTTCCCAGACACCGCGCGTCACCAGGACCAGATGGAGTCATCAACCAGGCCCTGAGAAACGTCAACGAGTCGGCACTCCCAGCGATGCTAGCTCTCATCAACAAAGTCTGGAGGACAGCTGAGCTGCCAGACGCTTGGAGGGTAGCAACAACGATACCACTGCTGAAGTCCGGCAAGCCCCAAGACCAGCTAAGCTCATACAGGCCTATCTCCTTGACATCATGCCTCGGCAAAGTGATGGAGCGTATGGTGCTACACCGTCTTGTTTACCACCCAGAAGGGGCAAGGGCTTTACCAGACTGTTTTTCGGGATTCCGGCACCATCGAAGCACAGTAGATGCAATGGGAGATATCGTCAGCTCACTGGAAGAGGCAAAAGCGCAGGGTTGGTCTGCGGTGGCCGTCTTTCTGGACGTCCGCAAAGCCTTTGATGCCCTCCCCCACAAGGCCGTCATATCAGCTCTACGCCGTTTCGGGGTGAACGGACGACCACTGAAATACATTTGTGCGTTTCTTAGTGAACGCACCATGTGTGTAAAGGCAGGCAACGCGGTGAGCAACCCCCGGAAAATTTTCCGAGGAGTTCCCCAAGGGAGCGTTGTTAGCCCGCTACTCTTTGCTCTGGCCATCGCGTCACTCCCAGAGGCGGCAAGGGTTGTAGAAGAGCCGGCGTACCCTATCAGCATGGCCGTCTATGCAGACGACGTGGCACTCTGGTCCACTGCCCCCAGCTACAGAAGGCAACGTATGGTATGCGCTCTCCAGCGAGCCCTGACAAATGCAGTGTATCGTCTCCACCAACTGGGCTTGGCAATATCAGCCGAAAAAACGATTGCGCTGTGCTACGCTCCAAAGAGGCCAAGCAAGTTCATGTCCACACTATGCATTGGGGACACTCCAGTGAAACTGGCGAAAACGGCCACATATCTTGGCGTCACGTTGGACTCAAGGCTATCCTGGGGCCCAGCAATGAGGGAAGTTCTTCAAAAGATGCGAACCCATACAAACATCCTCCGGATGCTCGGCGGAACTACTTGAGGAACCTCATCTCACATGATGCTGCAACTGTATAGGGGGCTCATCCTGGCCCGCCCATTGTACGCCCTACCTTTCGCCACACTGAGTGCCAACCAGCTCAAAAACCTTGAACAAGCGCAGCGCGTGGCACTCAGGATTTGCCTCGGAGTTCCCCGCACAGCCTCGTCTCGACATACGCTCACAGAATCCAGGATTAACTCTGTAGAAAACATCATGCAAGAAGGGGCGCTGGGTCATCTGACTCGAATGAGCAAACTGCGACTCGACCATCACGCTCCTAATGAGGATCGCCGAGCGCGCTGAATCAAGACTAGGACGCACCTCTGCACTCTTGGTGACATAGCTGGCACACCAGGACCACTCGCTCCACTCCCAGAGCTGCACAAAGATCCCCATCCCCTGCGGATCAGCCTACATATCCCTGGACTGCGGTCCAAGAAGAACGTAGCAGTGGTCGTAGCAAGGCAGCTCACGGAAGACCACTTAGTTACCCAGTACGATGGGTGGACCCGAGTGCACACCGACGGATCGGTGGACCCCTCCGGAGGCACAGCAACAGCAGCGGCTTTCTTCGAGGCAACAGCTGTGGGTACCAGTGAGCGCCTGGATCACCAGGCATCCTCCACCACGGCAGAGCTAGCAGCCATACGGCTCGCCCTCTGGGGTATTCGGACAGGCTGCACACAGGCTTTACGCTGGGTCATCCTGAGCGACTCAAGATCAGCCCTCGAGCTGCTATCTAGGCTCGAACGGGCAACGCCCCTGGCCCGTTCAATCGCGCAGGATGCGGTCGAGCTTCAGCAAGAAGGCAACAACATTGCCTTCCAATGGCTCCCGAGCCACTGTGGCATTAGAGGCAATGAAGTCGTTGATTTTCTAGCGGTGCGGGCTCACAAGGACCCTGAGTGCCCGCTTTCAACCGTTCCCCGCTTCTCAGACGCAAAACTCCTTGTGAGAAGAGCCATCGCCCTACAGCACCCGGACCCCGTAGTGGTGGCGGGTGCCTTCCCAGCTCGGGTACCGCGCAGCTTCGACCGCCAAACTGCCGCAGTAATGCACAGATTACGGACCGGAAGCGCCTTCACAACGGCGTGGATAAGTCGCTTCAGACTCAGTGTTGACCCCATATGCCAGACCTGCGAGGAAACGGCCGACGCCGAACATCTCCTCCTGCACTGCAGTGATCACGAAAAGGAGGGCACCAACCTCCGTGATGCTTTTTCCCACCTAGGGCTACCTAGTACCAACTTGGAAGAACTCCTGCGTCCAAGAGCCTCACGAGCTACTACGGACAAGGCACTCAAAAGTGTAGTCAGCTTCCTGAGGAGCGCGGAACTCCTCGAGATCCTCTAGGACTTCCAAGAGATCTGGGTTGCTTGCGGCTCCTGGGGCTCTTGGAGATCTTACATCCAGAGGTTTTCGGGAGTTCCAGGAGTCGCGAGTCAACACTCTGAAGAAACCCTCTTCCCCCTTCCCCCTTTCTCCTCCTCTATCTCTTTTTTCCCTTAATTCCCTTTCCTATCGACAGTGACAAGTGCGCCCAGAGCGTAACTAACAACAACGTCGATTTCCTAATAAACATCGCTTCAACAACAACATGTGTGTACAAGCCATCCGCAAGCGCACTCCGCATCGTTCCGCAGTCGCGCTTGCGTAATCGGACGCACCGCAGTCGAACGCAAGTGTCTGAACTGGCCTTGAGGCAATCTAGCAACGTTGGGTGCAGCCGACCAGCGAAAGAAAGCAGACGACACGCAGAAGAAATCTGTTGGCAGCAAAATTGCCATCGGTATGCAGGCACGTCCTTTTACTTTAAGTTTGCTTTTATTGTCCGTATTTATTTTTTAAGCGAAGGTACATGTCAGAAAGATTATATTCATTTTAATAAACCACGCTGGACGCGAGCCGTTGCGATAAGAAGCTAGCGCTATCTATCAAGAAGAACGCCAAACACACCTCGCTACTGGACTTGGTCGTCTGCGTCGCCGCCCGCCGTAGATCCTGGCAAGTTTATTGGCGCTATTGTTTTACAGAAAAACAGGTACGCTTTGTAATTTTACAAGAAAAAAAAACCGACCTGTGAAATACACCTTTCACGTAAGATTTAGATTGCTACGTGCAGGCGTCGAATTTTACGATCCATTTTAGATCGAGCCTGGTGACTTGGGTCACCCTATATGTTTGCGCAATTTTATTCGTGTAGCGGAATGCACGAAACAAAACAGTCATGAATCAAATGCATAGGCGCCGGTAAGTGACCGTCGCGTAACGCCCTTTTTTTTTTTTTTTTCATCGCTTGCATCTACGCGCACGAGAAAGACGATAGCACAAAAGGTCCCTAATACCTGCGAAAGCCCTAGTTCGCGGGTAATAGTGACGCAACAAAGCGTTCCTAGAGAATATCACGGGCGCTCTATTCTAAAGGAAAGTTTTGTGTTTTAGACGCACGATAATGAGCTGGAAGTTCCCTGAAAAGCCCTCTTTGTGTTGTTCAAAATGTAATTACCGATTCTCCAGACGAACAAACCACACTAATTGCTGGCAAGAGAGGTGATCTAAAAACCGCCTGAACCTCGCAACCTTTAGGTAAACCAGTTCAGAAGTCTCACCCAGAGCGCCTCACCTTCCAGCATTTGAAGTTGCTTGAGATGGTCACTTGACCCTCGCGCATGCGCAAGAACTTGTTCCGCATGACGAAGCCCCTCCAGGTCTTCTGAATCAGGGTGGCCAGCTCATGCAGCCGTTCATGCCGAAATTCTTCGAGCTCGTAAACCTAAAGCACGTAAGAGTTATTTAGCGAATTCGCACGGAAAGCGACAGCAGTTCTACAGGGTGAGGTCGAGAAAATGAAACGGGGTCTTTCCGTCCGCATAAATAAACTACGCATCGCAGGAAGCTGAAACTCGGCGAAAACGTGACGCTGCAGGTTATAATAAAGTGATAAAGTTTAAGCACATGACATTGCCTGGGTCAAAAGATACAAAAGAAAAACAAACATTATCTATGAGCCGATGTCCACCTCAGCCTAATATTCACCAAATTCAGACTTGACATTTTGGGCGCATGTAGTAATTATAGCAGTGAAAAGGCTTTTCAGCAAGAAAGAAAACAATGTTGTCGCGGATGAAAAGGATCGACAACCATAAAACTGAAAATAAACGTTTAATTGACGAACCTATACCGGAAAACAACAGAGAGAATGAGTCAAGAAAGCAGCGGCGAGCGTCGAAAGCGGCAGCAGCGAGCGTCGGAGTGTCGGCGTGACGGCTGACTGGCGCGGGAGTGCCTCAGTGTGTTGTCGTCCGGAGAGTGACTCGGCAAGGCCACGCCTTGGCTCCTCATCTACTACACTCGGTATCCCGAACACTCCGTCTAGAATGTTCAAACATCGAACACTCGCGAGACTGACTCGGCAAGGAAATGTTGGCCTCCTTATCTATTCCACTCTGGGTAAGAGTAAACACGAACTTTCTAGAAGTAAGCAGAAGCGTGTCCTCTCGGCCATGCACGCGTAAATATTGTCTTAAAATCTAGTCTCAAATAGAAGTGTGATGCAAATTCAGCTTAGATGGCCTATAGATCATTATTGTTTTTCTTTTGTGTATTTCAATCCAGCTAACGTCATGTGCTCAAGCTTTCGCCTTTTATCACCACCGCTAGCGCCAGTTTCTCACAAAGTTTCAGTTCTCTGCGATGCGTTGTTTATTTATGCGGGCCCAAACACCGGACTTCAATTTTTCGATCTCACTCTGTAGTATGTTCCAATGGTGCTACCAGTTCAGTGACAATTTGTTAGCCTAGTATTCTGCGTAAATGCTGACTACAGGAGCCCTAGAGTAGTCCGACACAAAGATTGAACCGAAAGTTCGCGGAGTGCGCAGATTGGACGTCTGTGACAAAAGCGCGGCGTGATCGACGCGAGAATCAAATCGGCGCGCTCCATAAGCTTCGACCAGAAGTTCGCGTCTGACGAGTCTCGGGTGCCTTAAATGCTAGTGTTACTCAGTGATACAATTATGGCGACTCCGCGCCTTTTCAGCCTACCAGTCCACTGATAGGTTGAGGTACGCAGTGCGTGGCAAGTCTTGAGCACTTCATTCTCGGTTCGCCCGTAAGAACTCCGAAGAGCGAATCAGGAAAATAGAGGCATGTACATAATAGGCCACCTCCCTACGTTTCTTAGGCTATAGGTGGTATAGGTAGTTCATTGAGAAAGAAGTGCTCCAGTGCATCTTGCAAATACCTTTATGAACTTGTCACTGATAGTTCCTTTAGGATAGAAAAAAAAAAAGATGAAGGCAAGAGTGACGTCTTCGATAAAATTTCTACAGTCGTAGGTTAAGAAGAACGCGGTTGGATACCGTCTTCGGGGTATAGCGGTAAAAACATACCTGATCCCGAAAAACATAACAACCGATAACGCTTTTGGTGGACTATAAATGAGACGACAGGCTGCTCGCACACACAACAATTTATTGCGCGTAGACTTTCGAGGCTGCGAAGAAATACCAAATTTTCTCATTTGAGTTCCCTATTTGAAGAAAAACTACTCCTTCCAATTATTGAGTCTTTATAAAATTTAAAAAAAAAACACTAAAATCTCGACCTGTAGAGTGAAAAAGTAAATTTCAAGCCCATTAAGCTGATTCACATGTTACGCCGTGTCAGCCGTGGCTCGTTTCCTCTTTTTCGCTTTACAATAGACAGCAGTGGACGCTTCGAGTCACTGGAGCACATTTAATGGTGTGTAAATGCCACTCGATGTCCGGGAGGGGCACAGAAAGTGCGTGATACGTTCACATTGTTGGATTGATGGAGATGGCTCGTGGCGTACGCTGCGCTCATCGTGATATAGTACAAAATAATAACAAATAACGCAAAACAGGAACTCAGAAAACAAATGCGAAAAATGAGTCCAGAAAAAGACGCATCTTCAAGACTCCTTCAAAGTAAAATTCTCCAGGGCAGGTTTGCTCGTTAACGCTGGTATTTCTCCTGGCAGTTAAAATAGCCACAAGGGGAATTTCCAGGTCACCCGATCGGCTTCGCGGTGAGAAAGTACCTAGCGTTCCAGCCCATATCGCTCAGAAGATCGTAGCCTCGCCTATAATCTTTTTATTCCTTTCTTCTTAGAGCCTCTACAAATAAAACACTTTATATACGGCTCCTAAAGTACTCGAATTCGATTTTTTTCAATCACATTTTTTAAAGACGGTTCACCCTCTTTCTGCACGCAATATCGAACTCGAATAATTGTAGCGAGGAGGGATTCATGGCAGCCTTTTGCCTGGAGCGTAAGGTTCTTTTAGTCTTTTGTCCGCCCGAAGCCGGTCTTCTGACCCCAAAATTCCCATTACGGCTATTTCAACCACAGGAGAGATACCCGCATTCAGCAGCGAACCAGTCTATATCGGCGTTCACCTTCAGCGGTCGGTAGAGAAGGAGCGTACCGTGCGTGGGTTCTTGACGAAGATCTTGGTCCTGCCGAAGGCGTACTCGGAGGGGTGGACGGGCAAGTCCCTGAGCAGGAGCGTGACGCCCTCGACGGGGAGGCCCGACCAGTGAGGCCACGTGTGCGGACTGAGCAGCTTGTAGCGCTCCAGGAAGGCCTCGTACTCCTGCCGGAAGGCGAACCCGGCGCGCCGCACCTTCAGGTTCTCCACCAGCCTGCACCGGAAGAAAACGAACCGTGGAATAGGACGTTTCGGGATGAATAGACTAAGGATCAAAACCAAAATGCATATGTTTTCTTCGTACGATGAAGGATTAATAGACTACCGTAATATCTCAAACAAACGCCCGCCCATAAAATATCACCCCCCCCCCCAAACCCCCCTCCCCTCCGCCCCTATTTTACCCCTTTTATTGCTTAACCGTACCTCAGGACTCATTCCGAATTTTACGGTAATATTAATTGCGTTTTCGGTGTGCTGAGGGCCCTTTTTTTGTTGTTGTTTACGGTACATAAAGGCTGACTTAGGCAGGTGATTTCATATTGTAGGCGGCCGGTTCGGTACCGATTTTTGAGGAGGAACAAGCACTTGAACACTGCTTGTTCTTCCTCAGGCATAATCAGGCTCCTCAGTTGGCTCCTGTTTAGTTGGTGGACCGTGTCGTTGTGTTGGTGCCTTCGGTTGTCAAAGTTATTTTGTTGGTAGTTCCTAGTTCCTTAAAGATTTTTTGTTGCGTTGACACTAATTGTGGCATTCGGCTCTTCATGGGCCTATTTAAAGGGCCCCTGAAAAGAAAAAGGAAATGCGTTTTTTTAAACAATCTGGTTGAGAGACAGACGCGTGTAAAAAAAATCACATTTTACGCGAAAGAAATATTTTTAGATCAATATTGACGGCACGAGACGTGATTTAGTCGGCAGCCACCTCCTTTTCACTTGTTTTTCTCTCGGCAATTCAGGCGCGTGGAGCAGAGGTGGATTTCCTTCGCCTCACATTGAGGTGGAAAGTCCGAATGACAATTTCGTTGAGCAAATGATCATTCCGTGACGTCATAGATTTTGCGCGCAGAATTTCAAATAAATCTCTCGCCGTCAATATTGCTCTAATTTTTTTTTTTTTTTTTGCGTAAAATTGATCTTTTGACACGCATGTTCCTATCGCACTGTTTAAAAAAAAAAAAAGTTTTTTTTCAGAGGCCCTTTAATGACGTTTTTCGCTGACCTTGGAGTGCTGTGTTCCTCGTTCCTTCTCCCTTCGCGACAGAGTTTACTATGTCAGTTGAACAGATATGGGAAACTAGGGTACAGTTTTTGTAAAATAGTTTTATAGATTTGTTGAAAAAAATTTAAAGCTGCGGTAGGTACAATATTATAAAATGAGCCAATGCATGCATGATTAAAAGGACACTAAGGGGGTATTTACGCTCGCCAAGGTTTTCACTTGTTCATAAAATATCAGAGCCCAACTACCCACAACACAATTTAGGGCTCGAAATTCGTCTTTTTTTCCGCCCAATAACCCCCGATCGAGAAGTGGACTCTTTGAGTGGCGTTCACTCTCTTTTCCGTGGTCACAGGCCGTTTTCTGTGGTTTAGGTACAACCACAAAAGATAGTCAAAGTCGTTGGTCATAACAGCCACACAGTCAATACAAAGTGACAGATGCCTGTCGTTGGTTTGGCACGTAAAACCCCCAAATTTGATTTAGTCAATACAAAAAATGGACAAAAAATGTAATGCCCATTTGTTGTGGCTACTAAAAAGCTGCAAATACGTTGACTGAAAAAAAAAGTGGCGCAGCCGCGTGAGTTCTGGTACCTTTGTCCTCTTTATTTCTTCTCCATCCCCAGTCCAATTTGAGTTTCGGTTTCGAGCAGTTGCGTTTTAGAGCGCAGCTCTTAAGGCCCGTTCACACTCTTGCGACCGAGTACGACCGAGATAGACCAGACCGGTTTTTAAGCCTCTCGCGATCTCTTAGACCAGCTCCGCGCTGCAGTGCATCCGGTCCTAAGAAGTCGTAAGAGGCTTAAAAACCGGTCTGGTCTCTCTCAGTCGTACTCGGTCGCAACAGTGTGAACGGCGCTTTAGGCACCCGTTTACGGCTTGAGTGGCGTCGCCGTCGGCGTAACCAAGGTCACCCCAAGGTCACGTGACCCCCAAGGTAATCCCAAGGTAACGTGACCCTCAAGGTCACATGACCCCTCCCAAGGTCACCCCAAGGTCACGCGACCCCTCCCAAGGTCACCTCAATGTCACGTGACCCGCAAGGTCACATGACCCCCAAGGTCACGTGACCCCCCTCCCCCCAGGTCACGTGACCCACTCCCCCCGAGGTCAGGTGACCCCCCCGGAAAATATTAAAGAATGAGGGGAGGAGGAAGAGAAGGAGGAGTGGTCTATCCTCCCCTCAGTACCCTTCCCTCCTCCTCCTCAAGAGCTGCTCTCCAATTCAGCGTTACAGGGAGTAGTAAACGGCTTTCACTGTTCTTTTTTTTTCATTAGAAATATACTGGACGCGGCAGCAAAGCATTCCTTGAGGAGTCTTCTGACACCCTAATAAATCGCCTGGTAAAATATAAACAATTTTTTTTTGTTAGTGTCAGTGTCTCTTTACGGACGATGACTCACGTCCAATTGAGTGGTTACAAAACATTTTTGCCATGAACAGCGACCGAAATAGAAAGTGGCAGGCCCCTATAGTGAAAACCTCAGATAATATTTTTTGACAGTTAAAAACATCTTAACATGAGTGCTCTTTGTGAGAATGCAATTTTATGCCCGAGTGAAAAAAAATACATTGGGCAAGTATGACACCAGTAGCTCCCCCAAAAGACAAACGTTGTGATTTTGTATCTTCATTCATCCTCAGAATCGGAAATGGACCGGTTAAACATTTTTATTTTCATTTTTCAGAAAGTTCAAAATTTACGAAATATCCCTGAATATCCGTGCATCAACCTATCTTGGTTTAAATCATGAATTGTTGATATGCGCCATGGAGTAGCATCCTCCCTCACGTGAGGTAACAAAGTATATTTTTTTAAAAAATTGCTCACTTCCGTAATTTTTTGTTTGTTTCTCGACTTTCAGTTTGAACATAGTAAAGCTTACAAGCGTGAGACACCGAAGACCCCCAGACAATTTCACTTCTAAGACTAAATATAACATAATAAATTTTGTCTAAAGGAATGTATGCCTTAAATTTTCTCTGCAAGATACAAAAAAGCCTTGAAGCAAATGCTACCCTTTTGCTAAATCAGTGGTTCTCAACCATCAATATTTTTCTGAACTGTTGTGGATGGGTGGAGACGATGGAGGACGCCGTTCGTGGTGAGGGGAGAGAGAAGGTATAGGTTAAATATAACAATGATATAAAAATGAATATAACTAAGGACTAGTGTGAAGTATACTTCTTTTACTGACAAGGACACAAAAGAAAACTCACCCGAAAATTTAAAGAAAATAATTCTGATCTATCTCATAACGACGACTTTTATTGCCGGGCCTGACTAATGAGGAAGGGCTTCACAAACAGCTAGAATCCCTTCGCGGACCCCACAAGACTCCGCGGACCCCCATTTGAGAACCACTGGGCTGAATGATTAAAACATATTTTAAAGAATATTAAAAGTAAGTTACATACACACCAAAACATCAGCTTTTTTTACGCACATAAGTGCAATTTTTTGAGCGAAAAGCCCCATTTTTGCCATTGTTGAACGACTAAATACATCACTTTTGACACCCTTTGTGCTGAACAAAAAAAATGAGCGCATAAGATCTTTGAAAAGAACTAACTTAATATTATCAGGATAGCTATACTTCCTTCAGTGTGACACGGTCAAAAGTTTGCTGTGCCAGATCAGGTCTTTGTGAGCTTTCCAAACATGCAACTTCTTGGCATAAATAAAGAGCGGAACAGGAAGTATAATAATTATATTAATTATATTTTAGAATTATAGTGCTGTTATAAATAATATTACGTATGTATTATTGGTAAATCACAAAAAAAGCTTTTTCAGCGAAACCTGATATGTTGTAAACCTAGATATCGTTCTCGGTGGTCAAAGTAAATTATAAATTCATTCAGAACTTTATACAGAACTGACGACCGCTGCAGATTTATTACAAGGGTAAGTTATGTAAGTCATTACACGTTTATTATCTTAACAGTCGCACAAAAATACGTCAGAAAGCACAGAAACCAGCAAAAGCTGCTCTTGTGTGAATTTTGTACAGAAGTCAGTGCGGGGTGGAAATGTATTATTTCTGTTAAATATAATTATTGACCGAAGGTACGCTTCGCCTCAAAGTATAAACGATGCCCTCAAGATTTAACGCCATCACCAGGTTGCCTGCTATTCGTGGTTTAAGTATATTACGTGAATTTAGTTGCGATCATCTGGGTCCTATGATGAAACAGTTTAACCCGATGGAACTGGCGGGACACGTCCTGCGAGTGAACATTTGTGTACCGTAAAATCCCGAATGAATTACTACCTATGGTGTAGGGATTGAATGGAAAAAAATATATAAAGGGGTGATCTTTCGACGCTGGGCGTTTGTTTGGGATTTTTCAATTAGACACCCTCGATTGCGTACAGCGTTACCCTTTTGCGTACTACATATACCAACATACAAATCTTGTCTGGAGCATTTTGTTTATGTCTACCCGGCTTTCTACAGCTAGAGACAAATAGACAAGTGCATATTATTCCACCGTACTCACCCGAGGTATCGGACCTGATGTTGGACCAGCGCCATCTCAAAGATCATAGGCTGCTTGAGTTCATTTGGCTTGCAAAGTGAAAAAAGCAGAAAAAAGACGCATTATCTCACTGAAACATGACGCATGCTTGTAGCCATATTTCAGTCGCATTTTGTCACCTTTCAAATTCAAGCGTTCGTGTGCATGGGTAATTTGATATTTAGTGCTGATACCCTAGAGTACCATTTGTGCCACAGTAATACCCATTTGCTAGCATTCACGGTTCAAAAATCAATCTGACCGCCATGGCTGTAAAACGTATTCTTGGGCCACCATTATGGCAACCTCGGTGACTCTTTAGCGAGGCCGAACTATCGCACAATTTACGCACACTAGCGACAAGATGACGGCACGAAGAAGCCATGGTTGCAAACGTGTACAATATGACCTCGCAAGATTCTCCTGAAGTTTCCTGTAAAAGGCTTCAGGGCAAAATATGTATGAAACAAGAATCGTCAGAATTGAACGCGTAAAGCTCACCTTAATGCAGCGGACGTAATTTGGCGTTTTCGCTTGAAGATTTTTTACAAGGGCCCCAATGGAAATTTTAAATTGCGTGGCAGTCGTAGTAGGACGTTTTAGAGTCGTACGCTTTGGGTTTCCTGAAATCCAACAGTTGCCGTAATTAAAACACGTTTAACGAATCCTAGATATGTTTTTAATGCGCTCCAAAGACGCGAACAAAAAAAATAAAAATAAACCTCCGATTCGAATCATGCATAAATTTCTTCTTTTCTCAAAGGGACCCGTATATGAACACCCCGGCAGTTCACGCGATTTCTTAAAAGTCATCAACCAATTAAAGTAGTTCTGATAAATCCTTGCAAATCCCCGATATTCAGCAGGTACCACAACAAAATCCGACCCATTGCATGTTTGCTGTAAATGTTGGACCAAAGGTGCGTTTAAAGATGGCTTAGCCAGTGTTTTATATGAGCCCTACTAGCCGACACGCTACTTGCTTCGACGGCCCCTGTGGCCAATGAAGACCGCTCGCTGACAAAAAACTGGATATGTTTATCACTAAATAGATAACGCGCCATTAATTTAAACAATGATGTCGCTTGTGGACCGAATTTGATACATTTTTGGACTAAAATCAAAAACTAGTTTTAAATGTTTCAATGAGTCTTTTTTTTATGTCATTTTGTTGCATATTTTAATGCGTGCTTTCTGTCTGAAGTGCGCTTTCAAGTCATTTTGTATATAAACATTTATTGTGCTTTATCATTGAAGCAGGGAGGGGCGGGGGCTGCAGACTCACTCAGACCGGAGTTTGGGAGCTTTTTGCCTACACCCCACCATCTTCTAAAGATAAATGTCAAAGTAAATTTTATTTGAAACTTTAGATTGTTCCAGTTTGAGACTACCATATTTTTCGACTTAGAGTTATGTGTGGCAAACATTGCGCTTAGATATTAAACGGCGCTTACAGCAATGCTGAGATGTTCATGACACTATCAACGCTAAACATGATTAATATAGAGGACATAGTGCGTGTTGCTTGGACATTCAGATAATTCTGCTTCTCTTGGTCCGGAGACAGAGCGGCTTGTTCAGACTGTTGTTTAAGTTCCTTACGGTAAGTCAATATTTTAGTTGTTCGGGCCATTTCAGTGTTTGCCGTCTATTTATTATTCCCATGTGTTAAATTTTTGTTTCGTGCAGTTATGCCCGTATGTACATATCTAGCATGTTTGCGTGTAAATTTTTTTTCTTTCTCCCAAAGCAGATATTAGTGGGTGTTGCGAGTATTTTTATCCTTCGACACTGCCTTAAGAAACACCAAAACCTAAACTTCATGTTTCGACGAGATTCGCTACAATTTGATTTATACGATAAAATTAACAAGATAAGTTGTAACGCACTAATTAAGCAATGAATCAATGCATCTGCGCTATAAGGCTGTGTGCCCATTATCTGAGGAACAATAACAAAAGCGAATTGTTGTACATGGTAGAGCGTTCAACATGAAGTGAATTCTAGAAAGTTAATAATGTGTAGGGTATTACATAATAAGTATGCATGTACAGTCGGCAATTACACACAAAAAACAGCATAAACAAAGAGCAAGAACGAGCATGTTCAAATCACCCGGCTTACCTTCCGGAAACAAAATCTTCATCAGCGGATGATCGCAGCTGTACATGGCTTGAGACAGGTCACGGTAGAGATGATCATTATTTTTATCAATAAAACCAGCAACGGAGTAGGTAACCTGAAAACGACAAACGCCGCAAAAATATATTATAAACATCATTAGGCAACACGAAAAGCGTATATATAAAGATGTTTATGACGCACGCGAATTGTGTTGTAAATTTGTCACAATTGTTACCAGCGCAGAAAGTTCAGACATCATGCAAACTATCTGGGAACAGAACAGAAAGGACTCCGCATGACAGTCATTAAGTTCGTGGTACTGGACCTTAGACCACCACTAAATGTTTATCTTGGAAATCACCACACCCTGCGTTCCTTATGCTGTAAGTGGCTATGTCAAAACTATAAAAGAAACTCGCTCAATTAAATAATTAATGGTTCCGTCTGATCGCTCACTCGCTTGGCTGAAACACCGAAACGCCACGCTGGTGGGCCAGATATGGCGGTGAGAGTTTGAAAAGGAAGTTTAGCTGGTCGCACTTTTATCTCAAGTGGGTTCTCCAGACAGCGCCCAGTTTGGTTCAGATCCTCAAAGCCGCGTCAAACTGTGAAAGTCCCCCCAAAACTGGAGCATCCAGCGTTGGCAACACGAGTCTCGAACATCCGAGATATCGACTACCAACAAAAACCATCTTCGCTCGACCGTGATATCTCACAGGCCACGTGAGGCATTCGACCGAGTCTGCTGCGCCTGGAAAGGACAGCTGCGGGGTTTCTGGGTGCGAAGCCTATAAGCTGCTTAAGACCTCTTTATATTTGTAATGCATGTTTTCATTTTTAAAGTTTGAATGAGTCATATTCTTTTTAATGATGAGTTTAAAATAATTTTTAAAAGCCGAAAGCGGATCATCTGCTTCAGGGCGTAAAGTAAGTGGTAAACGGAACTTGGAGAGACCACCAAAAACGAAAAATAGCCGCTTGCATGTTACCCCACAGCACGAAGCTCCTACAGTATACGCAAAGAAACTGAGGGAGAGGAAGAAATGAAAGCGCGAAGGAACGAAAGAATTCCAAGCTCTCATTGAAAGAATAGAGGGTAGAGACAGAGGCTAGCAGCCTTCGTCTCTACTCACTGCTCGAACGCGCTCGAACGCCGAATGCCGGTGCCCGGCGTTCGAGCGCAGGACACTGCGCGAAGAGAATACGAAGCTCTTGTTTTCTCCGATTGGAGGGATACAGGAGGTAGAGAGAAAGGCGGCTGGCCTCTGCTGCTACCCCCTATCCCTTCCAAACAAAGCTCTGCGCTTTGAGGTCCTCGCGCGCTCTCAATCTCCTCCTCTCTCTCAGATTCTTCCGGTATAGCATCGCCACCACGTGTTCCGTAATTGGCTTAGAAACTTGTGTATCTCAACCTTTTAAAGGATATATATATATATATATATATATATTTATTTATTTATTTTTATATATACATAGTTTTTACAGACACATACACACATATATATATATATATGTGTGTGTGTGTGTGTGTCTGTAAAAACTGCTCGCCGAATAGGTTTCCTGAGATATGGTTCCATTCAAAACAGAAGAAAATAAATCACTGCAATGAAAGCTGCCGGATACCTCGGTGCGAAGGCATTAGAAAGGAAAAAGAAACTAGAAGAAGAAAATACGAATGGATTTCTAATTAAAACAAAATACAGTTAGGACACATTCGTCGGAGAAATGATTGCTTATAGGAGATCTTGAAAGCTCAGTGTGTGTATCGAGTTCAATCGATCCGGGAAGGTGGTTCCAATGCCGGAATGTATGGCAAAGAAGGCATGAATGAACCATAATCGCGATAGAGCTTCAAAAGCACCCTGCGATCTAATGATCAAGACGAGAGGAAGCACCAAACGGGAGAGTGATTAACTTGCCACATTCTATGAAATCATTAAAAAAATCGACATAAAAATTAGTACAGCTTTTTGGCACGAGAATAAGTGGGAAAAGGGAGAGGGGGCCAGTGATTAACTTGATTTTATAATAGTTATGCTAGATGTGAAACGATAAGTACTAAGATTGAAAGATGGGGATCTGCGTTGGATAACTTCTAACTTAATGAGAGTGTGGCTTGTCGGCTCACAATGTCGCCATATGTACGTTTTTTTTCTTATATCATTGAAAATTACTTCTGAAGTAGAGTTGAGAGCCTGCTTACTCATGTGTTGCGTGAGTTTCACGCTTCAGTGCGCGTTCCTTGCATCGTTCGTCATATAAAGAATTTACAAAATGAAACGCACAGCCTGCAGCGCTCTAACGCGTTTTCCAGGCGCTATCAGTGCTGTCTGAGTAGCTACATTTCGATCATGTGGCCCCGCGTTTTATTGGTTGAATTTTTTTCTTGCAACAGCAGTGACTTTAATTGAGGATGCCTTTCATAACAGAGCCGTAATCAACCCTAACCTCTGACTATGGTTGATGGTAGGATACTCCCGATTTTATTATTTGGACGCCAGGAAGGATTCAGTTAACACCGAGAACTGTCTTTTTTTATAGATCAATAACTCTTCATTTGTGCTGGTGTCTCAAGAACAAAAAAAAAAAACATTTTCAACTCAAACTATGCTACAAGTGTGTTGGTGAAATACGCAAAAGCCAAACATTAAAATATTACCTTTTAATATTGAATGCGCACTTGCGACACCTTCATCACTATGGGATGCGTCGAGTCTACGCTCGGCTCCCTTTGAATGAACATTTTTTGACGCCGCATAGGCGCCCCCGACGCCGTTGTCGAATACCTCTAATGTCGCTACCTCTCCAGGAAGCTTATAGTTTTACACAGTTTCCCCTTCTCCAGAGAGTTTATGTGGAGCGCAAGTTCGTCTGCTTCTTCTGCAGGGGTTGTAATGACGTCAGAACGCCGAGTTCTGATTGGCTGGTGAAAGGATATTGTACAGACCTCTAAGCAAGCTGCTTTGAGGTCTACCCTCTATCCTTCAATCAGAGCCAATCAGAGCTCGGCCTTCTGACGTCACCACAATTACAGTAGAAGAAGCAGACGAACTTTCGGTCCGCATATTTTTATACAGCTTCACCGCCAACTTTCAAGATGTTTAAGACCAAATGTCAAGAACACAATATGCAAAGCACATAAAAGAAATTTTTTTTTAGTCATGGCTCTAGAGATTCGCCTCATAGTGAAATTGTTTGTTAAAATACAGTTCTGTTGATTCTGGGGCGTATGTACTTCCCTACTTGGAACACAATGATATAGGCACTGAGATATTATAAAAAGCGCTGGGAATGGCTTATTGTGGATGCTTACTGCTTAGTGATTGGTTCTTTGGCGCTCTCATTGGTAAAATGCTGCAATCTAATTGGCTGAAGACCGGTAGCAACATTCTCGCCACGGCCTCGTCGTTTCTTAGGCTTTCAGTGACCAGAGTAAAAAGCTACTGATGACGTTTTGGAAAACAAAGACGAAGTTTATAAACAAATTAGAACCTAGCTACCCTCCTTAAGAAGAAAAGAATTAAGGGGGCATTAATTAAGCCAAAGGCTTATCGGCCCGTTGAGAGTGTAAGCCGGAAAACGAGTCAAAAAGTGCGACAGAAGACGCTTGGTGCGCCCAGTCGGCTCCTTGAACAATGAACCATTTTAGAAATAACTGGCGCCACCTGGCAGAATACTGCCGTTCGAGGAACCCCAGTATAAAACAATGTGCGCCTTTAGAAAAAGAGAGGGAGAGAAACAAAACTTATTTTAATCAGCCTGGGGGCAGAAAATAAGCAACAATAGGAACAGGAGGAACATGTGGGGAGCTCAATTTAAAGTGAGTAGGTTCATTCGATTTATCGGCACCTCCTGCACCAGCTGCCTTTGGTGCACGCCGCTGCATCTGCTTTACGAGTGCAGCCTGTTTGAAAACACAACCGGAAGTATATTGCCATGCATTTTTCTACACCGCGGCACACTTTGTTGCACCGGTGCAGGCTGGTGCAGGTAAACCCTTACAAAAAAATGAAATGAGTTTCAATTGAAAGTTTAAAGGACTCACTCAATAAACCGCATTCAGTCTCAATTGAAACTTAATTGACTTTTTTTATTGAGTCGCTATTGATCCGTCCCAGGGTATTGGCCACTGAGTCTTAATTGAATTTTTAGCAATTGCATTTCAATGGAATTTTGGCAATTTGTGTTTCAATAGAACTTTTGCTATTGAGTATTAATAAAAATACTGCAATTGACTTTCAATTGAACTTTTGCAACGTGGTTCAATAGAATTTATTGCGACTGCGGTTAAAAAAATTGCTCTGGTTAAGAATTTTTTTTGTATAATTCTTTAAAGCATGCAACATGAAGGAAACAAAGCACCTAGAGGAAACGAACACAAGCATCATAACTAAGCACTCACAACCCACTAATCGTACTCGCCTTGACTACCCCACCGCCTTATATACCCTACATAAGAAAGGTATTCATTTGGCCGGTGACCACCTCAGCATCTACTAAGGTTCCCAGTTTGCTTTTTTTTCCTTGGAAGTCTCATAAATGATAAACAGTGTTTCGACGTCATTGGACTCTATCCCTTAATAGACAAACATTGGTACAAGCAATAATCGTTCGGTGCACACGGGTGCAGCAATCCACAAACGCCCAAACTGAATTGCATTCCCAATTAGTAAATTCAATAGAATCGATATGGACTTTCTTATGACCAAACTCAATTGCATTCCTAATGAGTAAATTCAATATAATCGATATTGACTTTCTTATGACCAAACTCAATTGCATTCCTAACGAGTAAATTCAATAGGATCGATATTGAGTTTATTATGACCAAGCTCAATTGCATTCCTAATGAGGAAATTCAAAAGAATACATATTGCATTTCTAATGAGCAAACCCAATTTAATTCTTAATGAGCAATTTCAAAAAAATATATACTCAGATCTTAATGACCAAACTCAATTGCATTCATAACGAGTAAATTCGATAGAACCGATATTGAGTTTCTTATTACCAAACTCAATTGCATTCCTAATGAGTAAATTCAATAGAGTCAAAATTGAGTTTCGAATGATCAAACTCATTAGACATTGAGTTTATATTGAGTTTCAATTGACTCTATAGGAACACAGTAGAAAGTCAATTGAAACTCATTGATCCTTTGTGTAAGGGAAGGCCCCTTCACACACTTGCGTTCAGAGCTACCATTGCGCTTACGAACAAATGCAACCGGTTGGAACGACGAGTTACCATGGCAACAAAGCGCCAAATGTCCGGTTTGTTCGTTTCCGTTTGCAGTGCAAGGCGTTGAGCCCGGCTGAACTTTTTCGCTGCGTTTGGGGACGAACGGAGCGGCCATACCAACGGACATATCAAAGGTCGAGGAGAGCTCGACCGCACGCGTTTTATGCCGGTCGCGGTTCCTTTTATTGCTTCTATCTGCTGAAAGACATGGCGTCAGCGGTGATCGTCGACGTGGTCGGCGTGGTGGAAGCTCGTCGTTCTACGCAGAACGCTATTCTTGACATGTATCGCGATGACAACCGAGCACGTCCTAGAAGAGATCATTCTACTCTTTCTGCGATGTCGTAGCAGCACCCTGAAGAGAGCAGAAACGCTCGTGCCGTCGTGTTTATTTACCTCGACTACAGTGGTACTTTTTTTAGCATTTGTGTCTTCGAACATCGCCCGGATTTTTATTCTGCGCACTCCATGCATGTGCCCAAGTTCAAGGTATTTGTGGTGCGTACTACGTTTACAGGCGTGTATGAAAGATGCTAAGTTTCACGTGTTTTCATCACCCGGGGAAAGTGATTAGTGTTAGCATTCCTGAACGCTCACAACGTCTATGTGGTCACGAAATCATATTTCCACGTTGTCATATCGCTGCTAAGATTACATCTTATTTTGTATTCGTAGAACAAGGGCTTGGCGAGATTTGCACTATTGGTAAAGTCGTGACCATCCAAGACGGGGCCCGCATGTTTTTCTTTTTTTCATCCATTGCACCCTGCGAGCTTGCCCTAACAAAACAAGAAAATTGATAAAGCTTGAGGTTATAGAATACTGTCTATCCATTTTTTGTTACGCGAGTGAGTGGCAGCGCTCCCCTTCTTCTAGAAGCACCGCGGAAACAGCAAACGGCGCCGGACAAGTGGCCAACGTGCATGAAGACCGGCTGCGCTTTTTAGAGTGCATGGTTGCTGGAATGTGTACGCGCGACGCGGAGTGGTCGTTCCGGTCGCTCCGCGCACAACAAACGCAGTAGTAGCTAACACGCTCGTTGCAGATATCTCAATCAGACTTACATCGAATGAGGGCCCAGTGACATGTTGAGAGTTCAAAGAAATCCCCTCCCACCCCTTTCTACTACAGCGGAGCAAACGCTAGAGAGGAGGTCGCCTCCTCTCAAGCATTGTTCTGCTAATGGGAAAAGGATGGGAGGAGCTTCCCCTAAATTCTTCACCTGTCGCCGACTATAGACCTTTCCAGCGGCAGTCTCGAACGAAGCGATTTACAGTGCCTGTCCCTGGTTTTGAGAGTGTACGTCAGTGTTGCCCGACTGCGTTGAGCTGTGGAGTTTCTCGTCAGTGGGCTGTCGCAGCCTGCGTAAGCGCAATTCCGGACGCTGGTGGCGGCTGAATTACCGCGTTTTCTTTTTTATCTTATATTCTGTGGCGAACATAATTTATAGAGGTCTTTAGGAAAGCAGTGCTCTATTTGTGGGAACAAAAACAAAGAAATGAAAGCTGTTTTGGTGAGTCCGTGCGCGACAGAACAAATGCAACTGTAGTGTTTGTTTCATTTTATGTTCATCGTTTTACGGCACCGTACACTCAGCCGTGTCAATCTATAAAGGTCAAAATATTTGACCACACAGAATATCCGTACTGCATGGATATTCCTCGCCCATAACAAAAAATTCAATGAGTCCCATCAATCGAACAAACAATATATTGTACGTACCCCACGGTGCCGCGTTATCCGAACAGGGTTTGAGAAAGGTCTCAAATAACACAGCATATCCAATATACAGTGTCGACGATAGTCACTTCACGGCGTTCGGACGGAATCCGGCGTGTTTTGGGGAACATGTAGAAGAGAGCTCCTTTTTCGCACAGCTTCAAAGCAAATGAACGAACGTGCTTATTCCGTCGCCACACCCCGGACCAGACCCTATCAGCTATTTTTCGCAAAACCCGGAACATAGCCGGGAAGGCTTTTTGGAGATTATCTCGACGAAAATAATTCTCCAAGAACGTCAAACTGCCTGCGTCGCGGACTGCTGGACGTTCGCTCTCTTCGTTCGTTTCCTGCGAAGGCCCAGCGGGCTACGAGCCCTGGTATTCCCTGGTTCTCACAGTGGAAGATAACACGCAAAGGGCAAGCATCCTAGACAGGCGAATAAAATAAAAACTTCCAAGAAAAGCCGCCGAACTCCGAATGCAAAATGCAGGTGGGGAGTCACGCTGACCGGGTTTCCACAGCTCAAGCGGTTGCCAGAAATTTCTGGCTGATAGGGGTCGCTCGATTCGCAAAATGGCGGCGGCCAGAGCGCTCTTTTTGCAAAGGTCTATAGGTGGTCGCTGTTCAATGGGGCTAGCAGGGTCTAGCTCACTCAGTCGAGGGAGTCCCCGCGCGCGTGTAATCACGTGCTCACACGTTTGTACGGATGAACCTAAGGAACCGACGCTTTCCAAAAACGACGGATTGTACAGTTGTGTGGCCACACTTACAGCACCGGCGTAATGCCTGAGACGGAAGCACTGAGATGGCAGGGAGGCGTCCGCCATGAAGTTCTTGCATCCTTTGCTCTCGAAGTAGGGGCTCTCCTGGCACACCTTGGTCAGCTTGTACAAAAACGTGTCGTCACTGACGGGCTCCGGCCGAAGGCACTCTTCATCCAGCATCGCCAGGATGCCGTGATTATTCTGCCAAGGGCACGAGATTCGTAAAGCTTACTAAAAGGCCCACTCATTTTGCATTACTCACTTTGCACTCCAACTACAAGAACTCGCAACGTGCACTGGTCTGAACTCCGTATCACCCTATAACGAAACGCAGAGGACTCAACGAGTCACCGAAGCCAGTCCAATGCAGTGCGAGTGTCGCGTGACGTTCGAGAAGGGAGCAGTGACGCGCGCGAAGCGTAGTCACCTGATTTGTTCACAGCGCTGGATTGGCTGGGAGAAATTGTATCCGCCGCTACCGTGCATCTAAGGTGAAATAAAGTATCGTATCCCTCTATTCTTTTGTTTGTGTTTGTTTCTACTATGATCATGCGCGCAGCGCCCCGTGTCTGTTGGCCTTCCCGTTGAGGGAATCTAAACCTCTCAACTCGTGCGTTCTCTCATCCGCTTCTTTCAAGTGAAGTACATAAAAATAATAAAAAAAGTCTCGATCGTCGACGAAGCGTTAAGTGCGGAATACTATCCTCGCATTAGAAACCGACCGGTAACAAATGATGTTCAAAGGCAGGCTTGCAAATACACTCGAAAGACGCATAATCGAATGCAATATTGAAGGCATGTTGAGAATTATTAAAATAAATCTAAGTTAAAGCTTAAAATGAAAAAGAGGAGTGCAGCTAGAAATCCCGAGAGCTTAACTTGAATCCGCGGATACCGATAACTATGCACTCTAAAAAAAAAAAAAAAAGCCTGCGTTTCTACTTACCCTCAGAACACCTCAAACAGCCAATCTCTGCGACTTACGAAATCAGCTCAGCGAATGATGAGGCGGAACATCCGTTTAGGCCTGAAAATTAAGTCTGCTCAGTGGCATTGCGCAATGCAAAACGTCATGTTTGCATTGCATAATGCCACAGCGCAGACGTACTTTTGAGGTCTAAACGATTGTTCCGCCTCGTCATTCGCTGAGCTGATTTCGTAAATCGCAGAGATTGGCTCTTTGAGTGTTTCTCGTGTAAGACGCGCAGTCATTTTTAATAGAGTACTACATTTTGTCCCACTACTATACTAGTTCATGATACCTGTTTGTTCTATAACAATTTCATATTTTCTGCGATGCACTTAGCTTACGAGAGATGCCTGGCATATCAAAATTCCACCGGCCAGTGCGTGCGTGCTACATTTAAACTGAATATATAGAAAGTGGTAAATAATAGGGATACTTTTTTATGTTGAGTATTCTTTTGTAATTCATTTTGAGCTTGAAACACTCACCTTTTCAATGAGGTCACAGATTATTGCATTATTGAAGTAGTCTATGTGTTCCCATTGAATACCCTGAAAATGCCATAAATTAATGAACAACGTTACCTTAAAATCTACGGCCGTCGGTTTCAGGCCTTACCTCATGTATATACTCCTCTTGCTCCTGTTTGAGCGTAAGTACTATGAAGAGCTGTTGAAGCTTCTCGTTGCAATAATTTATAACAAACTGTTCAAAACAGTTTTTCTGAAATGCGAAATTTGATAATAAAACAGTGCACTCATTAATACCTAAAACTGCAACTTTTATAAAACCGTTTCAAAATAGTCCTTGCATCGCCATAATTAGGAATAGAACGCTTACACACCTCTAGTACTTCGAATCCGTAGATGTCCAGAACACCTAGACATCTTCTTTTCCCGACTCGCTTTGCCTAAAAAGTGAATAAAAGACTTCGATGTTTTTTTTTTTTTCCACCGTAACGTCACAGCGATCTTAGGAAGTTTGATTGCACATTCCATTTAAAACAACGCCCACTTAAAGTGCCGCAATTCAACTTAATTTGACGAAACATCATTTTAATTTGTTCAGTTTTATTATAATTAATTTTATTGCACGCATTCGTGTTATGTGCCTCACATGAGACACAGCAGCCAGAAAGGGTCATGCGTCAGTTTATTGACCTCTAAGCAAAACGCTCTGTTTCGGTTGAAGAAACCTGTACACATCAACAAAGGTTTAGGCAAACAGCTGAACTCTGCAAGATGTTTTGCCTTCACAGATACTCTCCATAAAAGGAACAATCTGGAAACCAAATGAAAGCTCTAGTTTGTCAAACAATTTATGCTTTCAGAAAAAAAAATCAAGCAAACCATCTCAAACATTTGAACGAAAAGCTAAAGGAAGTGGCAGCGGGCATAGACAGAATGTTGATAAACATAAAGTATGGGACAAATCTTATTAAAGAATTACTAAGAGGCTAAAAAAAGCGCCTTGCTTCTTATAATTTTTTTTTTTCTTTTAAAGTCCTCTTCATTTCTTCAAAGCTGTTTCAGCCTCGACAGATTCAATACGTGTTATGGGCTGAAGCTTCGAATCCCGACACATCACATAATACTTTTATTTCTAGCCAAAGCTCAGTGCAACTTTAGGAACAAAAATAACACGACAATACAACGGAGCACGTGCTGTTTATAAATTTAAACTTGCGGAGTGGGCCTCGTGAGTCGCTAACCCATTAAAACGAGCACAAGAAATATATATATATATATATATATGTTACGCTATGCTTTCCACTGAAATGTATAGCGAGAAGGCATAATACGTTTTCAGGTACGTGCTTATATCGAGAATAGACTTATGTCATGAATATAAATGCTGTTTTTAGGAATTGCAAGGAATTACTGGTATGTGGTTAGAGCACCGAGCTCATTGTAGGCAATTACGTTGTATTTTAAAGGAAAATTATGATATATCTTGCTCCGTCTTGAGCAAATGCAAATCGAAACTTTACTGGCTACGTTTTGTGTTATTGGGTATGTTCAATACTATTAGAACTCATTACCGTCTGGCGGTAATTCGAAAAAAAAGCTAACCTCTACCCGTACCAGAACGATGCTACAAAATGACAAATACGCTTTAATCTCGTCGGCTGAGCTTCTGTAAAAAATTACAAAGAGGAAGCTACTGTCGAATTGTATCTCCGCTATGCCAAATTTTAGATTCGTAACTTGATCGAATATTTGAACTTCCTGGAATGCATAGTCGGTCGCAACTTAAGAAACGGGGGGCGTGGCTTATGTTGTTCGTGCTTCGTGATTTGTTGTTTTGCGTTTTTATTAGCTAATTCCGCCATATAATTGGCTGCGAAGCGATAATGAAATGCTCGCGACTCGCCACACCGTTCGTACTATACGGAGCGCAAGTTCGTCTGCTTCTTGCTCAGGGGTTTGCGATGATGACAGAACGACGAGCTATTGGCTGATTGAAAAACAAAAATGGTGGGTACGCCTCAAGGCATCTAGCATTGAGGTCTACCCACTGTCCTCTCAATGGGAGCCAATCGGAGCTCGGCGTCGCTCTGACGTCACCGCCACTCCTGCGCAAGAAGTAGACGACTTGCTCTACGCATAGAACGCGCTCTGCGGGCCACGCTGCTCACCGAAGAGACGGGTATAACGAAATGGTGCCTTACCCGTATGCTATCATTTATTCGGCTTACTAACCATGTGAATAAGCGGCTGTACAGAGCTTTGCATAAGGCATTCTTGGAATATGTGGCCTGCAAGGAAGAAAGAAGACGGTCAAATATTAAAAACAGAGCAGTTTCGAATGCATGGAATGCACTTTGAACGAAACCCCCTAACCCCAGAAGCGTGTCCTTCCGTCCGTCCCCTCGAAATACCGAGAGTTTCGAAAGCGTGCGCTTGCCTGACGTCATGTCACGTCAGGTCACGTGGCGTAATAACATGATGTCTCGTGACTAAAGATCACGTGATATCAATTTAACAGCTACATTTAACGGGTAAATTATTCAACGATTCCCTCTAACTATACTTCACTATCTTCATTCCCCGGAACGAGTGTTTAATGCGAGAAAAAATATAAATAATCGCTCTTTAAACATTGTAGCTTTGTAGAACTTTAATGCTAAAAGGCCGTTCGTAATTTTGTTGTTGGTTACTCTCTAATGGCTGTGTGTGCGGAGCCGGGCCTCTTACTTCCATGGCTGAGAGGTCCGTGATGACAACTTCGTGCCTGGCATCCACCATCTTCTGTGTCAAGGCAGAATGGAGAGACGCAAAATCCACCCGAAGCAATTCGCAAATGTCGTACACCTCTGCGAAAGAAAGCAAAATCAGGGAGTTACTTTCTGAGCTCGGACCGGCTTTCGAACTTTATTTCTGAAACGTGTGATGCTTTATATCATTTCGGGGAATTGTGGTTATCAATGTGCAGTCTCCCGGTTGGCCATATATACTGAATATAATAATAATAATAATTTTGTAGCCAACATGCATACACTCAGAAGCGAGATCGACAGGACGTTGTAAAATATAGTAGTAGAGAACTTTTTCAGAAGGTTGTAAACGAAAGTCATATGTACATTTTTAGTTTTGTTTGAGAGGTAAATGCGTTTCCATATTCAATATCCAGTGCCATTTATTGTGATTTACAAGTAATAAAACCTCAGGGCGATAAAAAATAATTATTGCAAAGGGTGATTAGAGTTGCATCATTGAATGCTCAACGATCGACACGCCTGTTTGAAAGATGCGTGTGTGATTGGAGGATGTGTGTGATTTGGAGGAGCATTACTACAATGAATTCTCACAGTAACGGGCAGACTTCGATCCTTGGACGCGGCATCGCTCATTATCTTTTAAATAATGTACCGTATGTTTCTCAAACAAGCACGTAAATTCTGTGGTCACTCAGTAAAAAAAAAACAATCTTGCATTTTTTTTTTACATTACGTTTTATAGGTTTTTGCAGAAAGAGCTTTCTGATCGCCGGCATTTCGCGCATAGAGTGAGCCCTATTAGCCAGGAATTTCTACCGCCCACCTGAGCTGTGGAAAGCCGGTCAGCGCGACTTCCCACTTGCGTTGTGCATTCGGAGTTTGCCGGCTTTTCTTGAAACTTTTTACTTTATTTGCTTGCTCGGGATGCTTACCATTTTTTTGTTATGTTACACTGTGAGAACCAAAGAATACAAGGGCTCTTAGCCTGTTCGCCTTGCGCAGGAAACAATCGAAGAAAGAGAACGTCAAGCATCCCACGACGCTTGCCGTTCGATGTTCTTCGAGGATTATTTCCGTCGAGATAATCTTCGAAAGGCCTCTCCGACTATGTTCCCGGTCTTCGCGAAAAGTACCCGATAGGGTCGGGCCCGGGGTATGGGGACGGAATAGACACGTTCGTTCATTTGCTTTGGTGCTGTGCAAAAAAGCAGCTCCCTTTACAACGTGTCCCATAAACAAGCTGGATTCCGTCCGATCGTCATGAAGTGGCTGTCGTCGACACTTTATATTGGATATGCTGTGTTATTTGAGGCCTTTCTCAAATCTTGTTAGGATAATGTGGCACCGTTGGGTACGTTCAATATATGTTGTACGATATATCAGACTCGTTGAATTCCATGTCGTGAGCGGGGTGTACCCAAGCATTTCGGCTATCCTGTGGAGCCAAAGATTTTCGACATTTAAAACCTTTTCAGAACGACATCACTGTGTCATGTTATAAAAAAAAAATCTACATAAACTGAAACAAAGATTTTTTTTTTTTTGTTCTGTCACGCACGGACTCTGAGAACATAGCTTTCATTTGTATGTTTTTCTTCCCAAAAATAGTGCAATGATTTCTTCGCCTTGTCCGTCCTCGTATTTTGCTTTCTTCCCATTATTTAAATTATTCTTACCACCACGCTCTTCATTCCAGGCTGTCTTAAAAGTCTCGAAAAAATCTCTTCGCCATTGAACACAAAAGGAAAAATAAAACGCGGCAATTTAGACGGTACCAGCGCCCGGAACTGTCCTTACGAAGGCTGCCACACCCCCCCGACGAGAAACTCCACAGCCAAGCGCCAGTCGGGCAAAGCTGACGTACAATCTCAAAACCAGGGACGCGCGCTCTAAATCGGCTCGTACGAGACTTCAGCTAGAAAGGTCTATATAGAACCTTCAAAAATCGACTTCTGGGCGCTAGCTGCCCTCCTTGTCAGCTCGGCTGTGCAACGCGCGCTCAGCATGCGCGAAAGCTTTTTTCTTCGGCAGTTATATGATATATAAGACGGCGCGAATGCGTGCATAACCCAGTGACTGCATTTTTTTCCCACCGGCAATAAACCCTCCAAACGTGGATGGCACCTCAAATGAAAAGACGAGTATCAAATTCTGTTATCAGATATCGAGATTATCGTAATATCCCGAGAGATAACCCACCTAAAAGCGAGAGCAAATTGTGTGAAAATGGGGAGTGGGCTAATTTTCGGTGTGCAATCAAGAAACATTTTAAGGATGCTACTTTTATATTATGTGACCTGCCAACCTTGTTATCACATTGGAGGGCAATGGAACAGAGAAAACTGTCCTTCCCAGTTTGCAACGTTCACTCATCTCCCGCTGCGCTGTACAAAATTCCCGTGCGTCTATTTTTCCACAGAACACTCGGAGCTCCAATCACCCTTACTTATAGAGGCCGCTCAGCGAATGACAATACCGAAACAAATGTTTAGACCAAAAAACGCAATCTGAGTTGTGACTTCAAGCAATAAAAAACGTCACACTTGCATTGTTTAATGTCACAACTTAAACTGTGCTTTTTTGGTCTAAACATATGCTACGGCATCGTCATTTGCTGAGCTGTCTCCGTAAGTTGCGGTAATTGGCTCACCCAGTGTTGCGTGGGAAAGTAGACGCATAGGATTTTTCGGAGTGTGTGGCAGGGTAACACCGATTCTGCGGAGGTCACCATGGGTTACAGCACCGCAATTAGTAAAGGTGGGCTATCTTTCGGTGTTTTTGAATGAATTCCAAGTCGTGCCAAAGCTAAGGGTGGGTTATCTATCGGGGGCGGGATATCTCTCGGGTTTTTACGGGCATGCTTAGGGCGGCGATCCAGCTAAATGTAAGAAATCGATCAGGAATGATGCTATTGTATTCCGTTTCCCGTCGAGTCCGACAGCGATGCCAACCCTGCGATTGGACCGTATCTATCAAGAACCGCCAAAAGTTCATCGTCGCTGCGCTCTTCATTTTGAACATGTTCTACAATCGTCTGAACCAGTTTTCCTCAAGAAACATTGTGCGTGATTGGTTAGGCTGGTGATAGCGAACGCACAAAAAGGCTTGAGGTACACTTAAGAAGTTCTTATGAGTTGTGAATGCAAAAGCATGAATGTCGTTTTTTCGCGGGTTCTCGTTAAGTTACCGTGCTTCGCTGACAGCGGCCGTGCCGCCGCTCTGTCATGAAATCGGTTACAGGAATCAGCTGGCGCGCTCGGGCAGCCGTGCCGCCGCCCGAGCGCGCCAGCCGATTCCTTCTGCCAGCGCGCTGCCGGCGCGGGCACGCAGCGCCATGGGGTGGCGCTGATTAAAACTGACGCACGGCGGCCTGGTTGGGCTTCATTTACTTGCCGTTTTGAGCGGCTTTTTGCGCGGCTTCAAAGCTGGGATGCCTCAAATCGCGGCTTCACGAATTTATCTGCCGTTAGCGCGGCTGATGACGTCGGCTCGCTCCATGGGGCAGTTGAAACGACGAGCGCCGTGATGATACACTTTTCGCGGTCCTTGATTTGGCTCCCGAAGATCGAAGCGGCGTCGGCTGCTGACAAACTCGATTTGAGACGGCATATATTTCTCTACTGCGAACCGGAGGCTAAGCATCACCGGGCTCCCAAAGCAAGATTGGCGGTAAAATATACGAGCTCCCGGCACGCGCATGGAAAACACTGATGTTATTTTCTCTACAACCGGTATCACTAACTTCTATATCAGGTTTACGGCTTTCAAAAGATACAACTCTTGATGGTATATAGCTAAAACATTCGCGAACGTCTCTGCTATTTTAGGTTCATAGATTGCATACCATAAGGCAGAGGAGGAGTGATAGAGATGCTTAAAAGATGCAGGGGTTCGCCTGGACCAGTTGTTCTAGAAGACTACTTCGTACCGCGTGGCGGAGCTGCGCGATGTGCTTCCAAGTTTCGCTTCTTGGACAAAACAGTGAGCATTTTACGCGGGTTAAATGTTGGTGATATAGCATTCCTCTCGCTCTATCGATTTTACTGCCAAAGATTAGATGCTTTGTTGGTTCTTTCAGAAAATTATTTTGGTAGTTTCAATAAATTATAATAGTAAAATGAGTCAGGCTGTGGCTCAAAGTGACAATATAATTAACTTGACACTTCATTTTTTTAGATAAAGATTTTATACGTTGCTAATATTCAATAAACTGAAATGGTTTCTTTGCAAATAAGTTTCTTTAGCGTCAGGTAAGTGCTCTATATTTATTGAAAAGAAAAACACAATTTAAACTTTTTAAGGTTTGAATTTTCGCCTTCCTTTTCCCAAAAATAAATTTTATTTTAGGAACAAGGCGGAATACGCTCTTATTAAAAACCGCGATCATATGAAAATAATTATATTTACAAAATCTATAAGGTCCTGAAAGAATATATCTTTTTATTAAACACATTTTTCATTGAAATAAGTGTTTTACTAAACCTCAACACGCTCACAGTTTACTTGAATTGTCTTTATTTCCCTCGAGCTCTGCACAATTGCGCTTTTAGCTTGTGTTCTACATTATTCAAAATAGATTTGGACGTCCGACAAAAACTTGTTAAAAACACAATATGCAGTGAAATATTTGTTAGCTGGACAAAACCCATAAAACCTTTCTACGTTAATGGATCTCATTTTCGCATAAAATTACTAATGACACAAATTCCTTGGGACATTTTATGGCCGTACATTTTTACTCATTCTTTAGAGAGTTATTTATTTCTCGCATTTATTTTTGGATGGTTGCACGTTTCTTTACTTCATATGTCGCGCGTAACTATCCATGTTCTCGGTTCAGAATGCGAAGCAAGTATAATAAGTACAGCTGACCTCTTCCCGTCAAAAGAAGCTTCCGTTTCTCTTATACCGAGATAGTTAAAAAATACCGGAACAAGCTGACTTGTACAGGGGCCAAGTGTCATTAGCTCAGGCGCCTCGCGCTACAATAGAATAAAACCATTAACTGCATTTTTGTTTATCTGAAAACTTGGTACGATTATATTCTTACCCGTTTTGTTACCCAAAACGGGGAAAGTGTGTGTGTGTGTGTGGGGGGGGGGGGGGGGGGGGGGGCTCGAGGTAATTGTTAATATATGAACCACATACGCACACGTATTCTAAGAAATATTGTAAAACAAAACAAGATACCTGAATGCAATTATCAAAAACGTTTGTTTTCACCAAAAAGGGAACCCACATGACATCAATCTCATCTCGATCCACCAATAAAAAGGGAAAATCATGTAACCAGAAATATATAAATTCAGTAAACTGCGCCTTTTATTCTGAATTGCCAGTGACTAGGGGCATCTGCTACACTAAAGCGATATCAATCCCCTAGAAAAGCTCCCATATCGGACGTCGACCGATTCCCGATCGCAGCTAAAGCATAAGGCTTTCAACAGGTATGAACCATGAATAGTTCGCCAACAGGTACTACGACTATCAACCAGAGTTGTGTCCATATCAAATACGCTACACAAAATACTCTGTTTGGAATACTTTTGGTAGAAATTTGATATCTCGCAAGAGAGATTTGATCGAGAGTATTTGCTACTTCATCTTAGTTACATTTCTCACTCCTTGTACAAATTGTTTAAATACATTTTTGAACGTTTGAATACTTTGCGAGAATAAGGATCGACACACCCTGGTACAAAGCTGAACCGATTGCAAACTTGTAGCGGAAACGGTCGGAAACTAAGCGGGAAACAAGCTAACCTCCAGGACCCAAAATGCAGACCCAAAGTGGCAAAACAAAAAGAACAAATAGAATAAAATAAGAAAGCAACACAAAAAGAAAGAAAGACACAAGCTTTAGTTTTCTTACTTCGGCTCCGCTTACAAAATGTGGACGTATCTTCGAACGTAATCGAATTACATTTCAAAGTATTTGTACTCAACTCAAGACATATTACAGATTAAGTAATTTGAGTAGTACTGTAAATGCTTTCTGGAAGCTGGTATTTAGTAACTTATCTTCAATATCGTTGTCGAATATGTTAGCTAACATTTTGGCGGGTTTCATGGACGTCACATCGTCTGATTTATCAGGGAAGAAAGGAAATGGGGGCCGAGTCTATGTAAACACGGCTCAGTGATTGAGAACCTAGCCAGTTCCCAGATGTGCTTACCTCATAAGCATGAGCAAATCAGGGAGGCGGCTAAGGGCCAGTGTGTGAATAACGGAGGCATGTTTACCAAGGCCTCAGCACCAACCTTCTACCCCCCCCCCCCCCTTTCCCGTCCGTAAAGTAGTTGATGTGATGTCCATGAAAACACGCCAATCAAAGCTCCGAAATTGGCTTGTTGTCTTACTCATCAAGCCTTTCCGAATACGCGACCAGCCTACTAGTAGACTCTTCCGTGACAGCATTAAAGCATTCGGAGAGTTGAGCAACTCTCAACCGATAGCCGGCCAAAAGACAGGCTCTCCCCCACCAGGAGCAGCGGCGTACCGTATTCATTGAGTAGGGAGCAGCCCTCGGTATCGTCGATGTTCGCCCGCGGCTGGAACTGCAGGTTGCCCATCTTGAGCACCGAGGCCACCACCTGGAAGGCAGCGTGGATCTCGTCCGGGCCCATGCCCAGGGCCTCCATGGACCGCTGCGACGGGGAAAGCGTCGAGTTGTAGCAAAATGACAATGCCAAATAGACGTTCGTGTTTTTCCGAGCCTTTACTCGTATCTCACAATTAATAAAGTAATAACCGAGAGATAAAGTAATAGCAGTAAAGTAATACCTGACACCCATGCTCAGCGTCATAAGGCGGACTCCTTTTTTTTTTTTTTTTACAAAAACTATTTTTATTGTTGTAGCTTGCCGAGTCTCCTTAGATTGCCGCGTGTGGCTACCCCGAGTGCTCTGGGGAAAACCGGACGCTCCAGGTTTTTTCTGGAGAGCAGTATGAGCACTAGCTTGTGAGTCTTCAGCGTGCATCGTGCAGTAGTGATACGCAACCGTACGCCGATGCCATTCTAACGCAGATCGAAGCAGGGAGGGGTGGAAAGTGTACCATGGATCCCGAGAGGCCGCAGCTTAAGCTTTGGCTCCACGTGCTGCGTCGAGCTATGGGGCGCTAACACACCCGGCTACCGATTCCCTCAGGAGACACCCTGCCCAAAAACAGTGTCCATCGATGTACACCTTTACATCGATGGACACTGTTTTTGGGCAGGGTGTCTCCTGAGGACACCTTTCCAGCACTCGTCAACTAGCCGAAAACTTGCGGGTCACTGTACTGTGGGACATATGCGCAGCGTGTGATGTCCCATAGCAGAGAACTACTGAGCTGGCTAAAATAAACCTGGTGGCGCACAGAAGTCGCTTAGTGGAATGGACCGATTTTGAAACCCCTTTAAAGAAATACTTCAAAGGGAAAAAAATATTGTTTAAAGGCCGGAAAAGGAACACGTATCTTTAAAAAAAATTCCTCAAAAATATTTTTTCCGCGAAATATTTACGCCGTTTGACGCAACTTAAGGCCCGTTCACACTCTTGCGACCTCTTAAACCTGGGTTCCTTAAAACTTCTTAAACCAGAGAACACACTGGCGCCATCTATTGGGAAGCAGTGTAAACTCGGCGGTCCGGCATATTTTTTTTTTTTATTTCTCGCGCATTATCCTTTTTTTCTTGGCTCGAAAAACTTTTGTCAATATTATAAACGAGCCTTTCTATGGGTATTACGCACATTTGACCTCGGAAATCCCGAAAAACCTTCGCTCTTGGGAAATGCAGTTCCAGGGTCACCGCATAGATGGCGCCACAATGTCAGTGTGTTCCCTCATGCTAAAAACATTTTAGAAGTTTTAAGAGATCTCGTCTCTCTCAGTCGTACTCGGTCGCAAGAGTGTGAACGGGCCTTTATCTTCGTCTCACCCTACGATGGACTAAATACCAAAGCCGTGTGCCGCCAGGTCCAATCACGTTCCACGCTAAACTATGACACGCTTAACATTGATAAAGGGGTGGACGAATAATGCTCCGAATCCAAAAACACTGCGTCATTCCTACAGCTTCGACACTGGAAACTACCGCAAACAGCCTGTACGTCGTGGCTTTTTTTGCAATGTAACATTGTTGAGTCATTCAGTGCTATTCAATTCTAACCACTGTCCGCCCATCCCCATGAGTTATCTGAGACGCGGGCACTGATACCTGCATCAAAGCGCAATGCACGCCATATCTATGTGGCTCGTGATTGGATCTGGAGGTCCATAGCTTTTGCCTTTAGTCCATCGTAGGGTAAAACGAAGTATAGGTGCAGAAGTGGGAGGTCGGAGCCCGCTAAGCCCCGCCCCGTGTTTACAAGGTGCTTGCATCTCTCATTGACTGGAGAGATGATTGACATGTGAAAGGTTGGCTGTTAATTTGTATGTCCGTGCCGTAATGCTATTAAAGTGAGGCTATTTTGTGTTTTTGTTTGAAAAGCTAATAATGAAGATAGAACCATTATTGTTTTTTTAAATGTATTCTGAGATTGCTTTTCCCGCTTTGGTATGAAACGTTAATAAACATGTCTGCCGGCGCTTGCGAAGTACTGAACGAGCGAAGCACGTTGAGCTCGTCGATGTTTATGAGAGCGAGTGAGTTTGAGTTCACAGAGGTGTTTAGAGAAAGATCTCAACCAACGTAGTTCGCGACAAACAATTGCCGCAAGTACGCGCCTTCGAAAGCGCTGTGCGGATGCTTGTTCTCGTAGAGGAACTGGCCGAAGCCTAGCGTCCCACATCAACTGCTGTGCTTGATCTGGCTTGATTTATTTTTTTGCACGTGTTGATGCTGAATAGAGATGCTGGTTCTTGTAAAAGCGCCCCCCCCCCCCCTCCCCCTTTGCCCTGTAAATTATTCAACCGTCGGCATTGCGACCATGGTTTCAATACCGAGAAGATACCTTCGAGGAGATACCGAGGACATACCTTTCAGTACTGACAATATACCTTTCAAAACCGCGAAGATACCCGTCAATACTGAAAAGATGCCGTGAAAATATTATTTTAAAACACCCGTCCCATTTATGGCCTTTAAAACTTTTTTTTTCTTGCACTGCTTTTTTAAGCAACAATGGCGGCGTGCATCCCTCCAGCACGAAGCGTGTGACCTGATCCGAGTCCTCGGCAAATGCTAACGGAGTAGTCGTTTTCGATACCTACTGTGCCGAGTCATCGCCGAATTCTAACGCAGCCTTCGTGTTCATTACAGGCTCATGGTGATTCATTATACTACATGGTGGTCTGGGATGGTTGACGTAGTAGCTATTAGTGGTCGCGCTTTTTGAAGAAGTCTATTATAACAACTAAAACAGTTACGTTTCGCAGGAGCAACAATTCAGCAATATCTGTAACGCTAAAAATTGATCTCGTGAATAAACCAAAAATTAAAAAGGGGGGGGGGGGGGGGGGGGCGAACGTTGTCTTTTTGTTTGTTTTGTGTCCCCAGAAATGTTATAAAAGTTCACGACAAAGCAGAGCAATATCGCTTGTGCTTCCTGGCACTGTATCTGAAGCTAAGGAAATCAGATTTTCAAATCTTGACGATCGCCAGTTGTTCCCGGTCTGCACAGACCGCCAAACCCGCGGCTCTCGCAAGACAAACGGGGAACGGTATGACGATACTCTAAGCATGGCCTATTTAGTGACTCTATACTTCGTTTCAGCTTCGGTCCAGACGCAGCCGATGCTACAAGCGCGAGCATGTGGCCCAGAACAGTGCTTGCACTGCACGAGCGCGCGTGCTTGGCAGGGATGCTGAAAGCCCGGAGCTCGCGCTTGTAGCTTTGGCTGCGTCTGGACCGAAGCTGAAACGAAGTATAGTGCCAGTACGAAAAGTATGTGTTTTACTTGCAGCTGCTGTGCAGCGCCACCAACGGCGGCGTCGGCATGACGCCGTGTAGAGACGCGTCGACCGCATCGCCCTCAGCCCGTGCACGCATTTTTGTTTGCGCGCGATGCGTTCAGTTGCGGCGGACACGGTGTTGTGAAGAGCATTGCGCAAAGCTTGTACACACAGTTGCGTTGAAACGCAGTCGACCACAGTCAAGAGCCGAAAAGAACGCGCTATCGTCACATTGCGGCTCACCAATATTAAGCGAAATTCGCGGCAACATGGCGGCGTCTCAGCCGGTCTTTCGGTGCCCGAACGCGGAACAAGATGTAGGTCCTTGACGGGCCCGGGCGAGCAGGTAACCCCCTCCCCCCCCCCCCCCTTTTTTTTTTCTTCTCGGCATCTTATTGGTGTACCGCAACTCGACGCTTTGAAAGGTTGGGCCAGGTATACTCTCTTTCGTCACGCTAGGGGTTGCTGCCCGACCGCGTGCTTCGTGCCGCAAGGACGCCGTTCCGCACTCAAACGCGTTCAATCGGAAATGTGTGTATGGGCCTTAATGCATTCGCTGTGCCCGCATCTTCGTGCGGCCATGTTTCTCGATCTCGCCCCGGAGTAACGGCCTCCTCTTTGGACATTCAAAAAGCTATCCAGATCCAGCGTTTCTCTGTGTGCCTTTTCACTCGATTTGACCCGCAGGACTGGCTGGAAGTTCGGATTCCATTCTGCCCACGCAGGGAAAGAGTAAACAGCCGTAACACTCCGCCGTGTACTTTTGCTTGTCCGCGCTAGAATACTCTTCAACGCAGTGGTTGTGGGTTCGGCATTCCGGTAACTATACTATTGGCACGACATTCACAAGGGCCAGTCTGGAAATTAGATGATGGCGGCTGTTTTTGCCAGCGCACCGAGGAAATCTGCGTTTTCAGTTTCTGTCTCTAGCAAAAAGTTAGCACCGACTGTGTCCCCGAACGTTTTGTGTAGCGCAGTGTTCAGGTATGTTGACGACGATTAGAAGGTATACGGTCGACTGTGTACGTACGATGTCTATGCGAAATGCTTCAGCTAGGAGCCGCACCATGGCGCCACTGTTTTGACGCACTCTTTCAGCAGGTTATGAGTTAGCTGTTTGTGAACTGCGGCATCCGTATAACAGACCTATGTCCTAAGTTTGTTCATACATAGAGTAGAGATACAACATCTGGAACACCCGAGACTCGGTACAAAAAAGTGGCCAACACTCAGGTCTCAATTTTTGTTCAGACCTGTTTGTGTCTGAAGTTTTCTTTGATAATTATTATTATTATTATTATCATTTAAGTATCGAGTGTTTCAGATCTTGCAAGTTCACCAGCTCGCCTGCATGTTCTTTGTTATTTTCAACAAAAACAATCCACGCCAAAGAAAACACGAAGCTTCCATTACCTTCGTTAATCCAAAGTAACTTTTGTCGTCGATATTTTCCGCCTGAGAGCCCTTGCTGTGCTTGAGTATTGAGTAATTGTCGATGTTCCGCTGCAATTTTAAGCTTTCTGAAAGAAAAAAAAAAGAAACGACGGGGATGAAAGCGGGTCACTTAATTATCCATAAATAAGTATGCACGTTAGTACAAAAAACGTGCAAGCAGCATCAACGCCACGCGAATTATTAGCTTGCAATAATCTACGAAATTAGCAGAACTTTTTTATATACTCCGATGCAACTTAACAATATACAGCAGCGGCGCTAGAGACATCTCAACCAATTTAGCGTTGTGAGCGTGCCACGTGACTGACGCGCCTCGCGCGTCGCTGCTCCTCTTTCAGGGATCACGTGACACTTTGATGGATTGTAGAATCCTCCGCGGTTTATCGTGTATAATTTGAAACGGAGTGTAGGGTTGGCATGCTGAAAAAATTGCTATTCGAAGGAAGAACAATCAAAGCCGCTATTCGTGGAGCACATATCAGCTAGAGCGCGTGAGAAATTCATTTGATTGGCGATATTTTGTAGAGCTGCGCTTCTATGGAGGAGCCTACGTGGACATGGTGTAACTTTACAATTTAATAAAACCGCGACTTCGTCAGCAGAGGCACGCTGCACGTAGTATAGCGTGAAGATGCTGCATCGTTTGGTAACGCTTTTAACTTTACTGTCTAGTTTTTCTGTTTTTCTATAGAGTAGTTTTTTTAAGATTGTAATATATATAAATATGATTGAGATCCTCGTATTTTACCAGTATCATAATTATCATCAAAGTTGCCGCTAAAATTCGCTTCGCAGGTCTCGTATTTTATTAACAAAGCGCTCCTTCCCACTGTGATAGTCAAAAATCAATACCGGGTAGCAATATACTTTATGAAGTCGGCCTTCGTGTTTTAGATATTTGAAAAATCAGAAGAGTTTTCGGCGTGCAAATCTAAAGTTTGACCAGAGCGTCTTTATGCAATAATGCGTATTCTCCGTTTAGTAACTCTCGAATAAAAATAGTTGGGCATTGGTAGAATATAAATTACATCGGCATGCTATAGTTTATTAGATTAAAGTTTTCTCATTTAATGATGTCGTATAATGCCACAAAACTAATCCTGAATGAGTTGTATTACGGAGAAAATATTAGACCGGCGAGTACTCATATATGACGTTTTGAGGCCGAATGTGAATTCACGATTGATAGGCGTAGCGTCCACGGGACGACAGCCTTTAAATATAATACGGAATGGGCACGCTTAAAGTTATTAAAGTTATTGAGGACCGGAGGCAGTTAACTGGACGACCAAAGTCGTCTTCGGTCGTCGGGAGAAGAATCAGGCGAAAAATTTAACCAAAGGCTGTAATCGGAAAAGAATTGCCCGCTCATACACCACCTCCTGTTTGTGAAGAGGTTCCCATACCTCCGCGAAACGCCGTCACAATAGAATGACGCCAACTCAGCAAATGGTCCCGAGTACGACGATGTTCGTCCTTCAATGCACTAATTGTACCCGAGGTCAAGCACTCGTGACCATACTGTATCGATATCACTGTGATATCATCAAACTTGTAGTGCACGAACTTTGATCATTCTAGGGGGTGTTGTCTCACGCCGCTTGACCTGTTCAGGTTGCGGTAAGAAATTCATGCTTTCAAGCTGATAAATATCGTCGTCGGTTAGTTCGCATAATGTAAACCGTTCCATGTGATGTTCAAACAACAAACTCACTTAATAGGTGGATGTCGGCGCCGCTGAGTAGCTGATAAAAAAAGTGGAAGTTGCGCTCTCCCTGCGTCTGAGAAATGACTCTTGACTGTGCGAAGAAAGAGAGAGAAAAAAAAAAGGTAAGGAACAAGAGCTTAACAAAACTAGTGTCAGTAAAAATAGTTCGAACAAGGCTAATCTATTGTCACAGTATCGGGTTACATGAATGGCCGATTTGCAAAAAGATGTAATGAACGCAAAGCGCCACGTGCGCAGAGCAGTGCACAAATTTCATACCGTGAAAAACAGAGGGAGAGGAGGAGACAACAGCGCGCGGGAACATCAGAGCGCCGAGCTCTGATTGGACAGATTAGGGGGTAAACGCAAAGGGGGTAGACGCTGAGTCTCTGCTCATCGTCTTCCTCCAATCGTGCGAACAAGAGCGTCCTCTGTTTCTCGCGCGAAGTCTCATGTTCGAATGCCGGCATTCGAACGCGTTCGAGCAGTGAGTACAGGAAAAGGCAGCGAGCCTTTGCGTTCATTTACTGATCATTCCAAACAGGGCTCGGCGCTGAGACATCCCCGCACACTGCCATCTCCTGCTCTGCCTCAGTTTCTCACCGTAAGCTTGATTAGATGTAAAGACACTTTTAAAACATGTTCCACTTGTTGGACTCCACCAGCGAAGAGAAATGTAGAGTGCTCCACAACCTTAGCGCTGTTTCGCGAGCGCCCGACTTCCGCGAGGGGGAGCTACTAACTTAAAACCCGTGTTTTCAGGCATCTAATTTTTTAAAGGGCTACGGTGTTAATTCTGTATCTAATAAGATTCAGGTGTGTCGTATTTACGAATTTTTTTCGTTGGCTATCGTATAGTACTTTTTTGTGAATACGATCGAGCTAAGGGAAGGTACTGCTGCATGTATTCATCTTTATTATTTCACAACATAGAAAGCATTGGAAGTCGTTATTTTTACCTTTAAATAAAGGTTTTACTGCCTGTGTAAAAAAAACTTTTTATTTGTTTACGGCACGCGCTAGTTGTTATACTAACCTAATCGCTTAACACAAATTACAAGCTATCTGAAACATTCAAGGTCTGTCCAATGAGTTGGACAGACCTTGAAAATTGTCATCGTAAATAATAATTGAAAGTTGAAAGCTTACCTTTTCGAGAAGATCTGAAAAACAAACAGAGAAAAAAGAATGCATCGTAAGATAGTAAAAGGAGCAAAGTATCATACTCCGTGCCATTATGAAAAAAAAAATCCTTTCTCAAGTTGTGTGCCACGGCGCAATTGATCACCGCCGATATTGCGAACGTCCGCGAGGCGTGACGCCCTCTTCTGCTTACACTGCCAGCGGGTATCCGAACTTAAGATCAGCAAACGCGTGATATTATTCCCGTCCCGAACAATAGACGGAAAACCGATATGCCCTTTCAGAGTAACTTGGAACGATCTATCAATTACAGATCAATGTGTACACCCCATGGCGGCACTGCAAGGCGCAGCAAGAAAAGCTTCCCGCCTCCACCAAAGCAGGTACTCACAGTTTGTAATGATGCCGCCAATTGGATCCCCTTTGAAGTCGAACTCAATGTCTATGTATTTGCCCTGCAAACAAAAGTTCAGTATTATATGGCTTCGCAGTTAGGCACAAATGACAGATGAGACACGACAAATATAGTGTAAACGGTACGAGCTAAGGGGCCAACCACACTTGGCATGGCAATCGCCGTCTCTGTGAGTGCTCACGAAGTGTACACGATACTCTAGGATTATGGCCAACTGTTTCTACATTTCAGTGTCTCCAAACAGAGACCTATTGGAACCATTTGGAACGGTAATGTTTCCGTTTGTGAGCACTATGATTTCGAGCCCATGTGGGTTGCTGATTGTATTGGTTGAGTTGGAGCGAAGATTTACGTTGAAATAAACTTAGTCTAAAATATTTTGCACAAAAAACAGCGTTAGTTGTCAAGTATTAGCCCGACACATACCAATCACATTTGTTACACAAATGTACAGACCGCCTTCCGAAACAGTCCAAACATGAGTTCATATATGTGAAATGTCAGAATACTAGTATAGGTTATGGGTAGCGTTTACAGTATTTGGTACAACTGGATCCGCTGAAAATTGTTTCTCTTTCTAAGGCCACGCAAAACGGTGCTCGTTGTACAGAATTTGGCATCTAAAGTTTGTAAATCATTATCTAATGTTTATGTTATGCTAGTAAATTCGAATAAAGTTCATGATGTGGTTGCTGAACGTCTAGTAACAAAGTGACAACATAGAAACTTCGGGAGAGTGAAAATTTCGGCCTAAAATATGGTTTCATATTTGACACTTTCTCATACTTTCGCTAGGTACTCTTTCACCTGAATCAAGACGCAATGTCTTTGCAAAAGTTGATGATTTCACACTACAGATTGTCTGATTAATACTCACAAATCTGGAAGAATTGTCATTCCTATGTGTCTTTGCGTTCCCAAAAGCTGTAATAAGACAAAACAGAACTATTTAGACCATCATGTTACCAGCAACATAATGCACAAAACCCGAAGTGCCCCTCCGTCCCTCCACCCTGCCTTTCCTTCCGCGCTTTCCGATTAGGAACAGTAGTTCGAAACCTAACTTAATAAAATACTTTAAATTTTAAAACTTTTGCGCTGGCGTAAAAAGACCTTCAGATGTACATTGTTTACATTGGGTAGATTTAGTAGATCGCTCCGATGACTCCGATAACGACACCCGATACTCCGTCGACGTCTTTACACATGCATTGTAACGCTATCAGGTATCGTTATCGGATGTATTGGAACGTTCTACTAAAACTCTCTATTTACGCAATGCATAAAACGGAATTCGAGTGCAACATATTACCCAGCCGTAGAGAAAGAAAAGATCAAACATGATTTGTACTCTGCTCATTTGACTATAGTACTACGAAATAAACCAAGAAACGTGATTGAGCAGAAAAAATTTATCATTCCATAGAACTTAATTTCTCAGTGTCCTAATGCATGCACCTTTTGTATTTTTCATTCCACGCGGATTTTTTAAATGTAAAGTTACATTGACAGGTACCAAGTTTACAAATTTGTAAAGTAACCAGCTACAGTCTGGTCGATAACATAAAAACGCTGCGAATGAAATCCAAAACAACCCTCAATATAATATACTCAGGGTTGTTTTTATTGTATTTGCAGCTTTTGTACGAGGCTTTTCGGTGAAATGTCACTAAAAGCCACCGAAGTGGCAGCACTGGAAACAAAGCGCAAATGCACTAAAGAATACGATTTTCGTAATACTTACTCTAAAAGTGAGTGCCGCAGTCGAATGACATACCTTCAAGCACGGGCGCGCTTTGCAGCAAGTGTTCCTTGATGGTATCCACTTCCGCCTCCATGCCAGACACGGCGGTTATGTACTGCATCACCAGCTTGCTAGCCTCTGCACATGCGATCAAGTCAAATAGTAAAGATGTCAATTTTTAGAAAAAAAAAACACAAGTGATTGGAAGCTTAAAAAAATAGTCAATACCCCCAAAAAATATTTTTTTAAGTGCCGGGAAAGAAAAGGTATGTAAAAAACATCTTTCCCCAAAAAAACTTTTTGTAATACATTTCGGTCGCTAGACAAATTTTTAAGTATTGCGACGTGCGGTGCTTCTATTTCGAAGCGACGTGCTAAAATCGATGCACGTTTCAAAATCGCTTTTACTCAAAATACCTCTCACCGACTTCCCTTCTTTTCATTGGTCTACAACTTGAAAAACGACGTAAATATTGCAGTTCAAATTGTAGCGCAATACATTGTATTTCGGTACAATTTGTACCAATGCAGATCATTGCGGTGCAAACCGTACAGCGATGAGAATATTACGGTACAACTTTGTAACGCGGTACGAAAGTTTATTTTGAGTCTTACGTATCTGATTCAGGCACTTATTAAAAAAACGCGTGATTTAGAACTGTAATATTTTAGCGATTCCGAAACATATATCTGTTTCGGGTCTACATGCCGAAATATTCTAATTGCTCCTAGCTCAAATATGGTATCGCGACATCCATATTACATTGCGAGACAAAGTTTTTTATGTATTTTTCCGGGACCGTTTATTTTGCTGAGTGCGTGTCCTATCTTGGCATTTAAAAAAAAAAATGAAAGTAGCCTTTATCTTCAACGTGCTATAATGCATGTATGAAAGGCAGCATTTAAGGAGCAATAATTTAAATGTGTTTAGAACACCTATACTAAAATTTATAATTTATATTTATAGAGGAAATTGCCTTAGTGCATAAAGTCACGTGAAATCTATTTCCCGGAAAAATTAATCGTATAAACCCAATTGTGTATAGGTCAGATGATGTCAATTTCTCCACTGAATTTAGGGGGAAAATCAATTAGTGTGAGCGTGCCTTCGGGATAAGTAGACCCAAATAAAAGAAGCAAAAGCGCCAGCACGGGTTGGCGGAGTTCAGGCTACGCGCTTCTCCCGCTAAATCACAATAGAACCGCTGAACGTATTCTTATCTTGCCGGTCAATCATTCAGTTATCCTGTCTCCACAAATGCATGGCGGTCAAAAAAAAAAAAAAAAACGGCGGATGGTTACAAGCGGCTGACGATACAGGAGTTCCTGATGATACAGGAATTTCTGATGAGGGGGGAGTTTCCGTACACGGACGTTCCTAGAGAGGCTCCTCTACGGAGAATATAGGAACTTTAGCAAGAGCCATCAAGGCTGACCAGCGTCCTTGCTTCGTGACGAGAGGCACGAGCCACGGGAAATCAACGTGAAGTGTCCAACGTTCCTTGGAGAAGCATCACTAAAACGTTACCCGGTGCCCGGGATGATTAAAAGTTACTTGTAGCACAGAAAGAGAGCCTTTCGTTTGCGCATCAGGTGTACTTTAGGTCAGGTGCCGTCGTATCACATGAGATCAATTTCCTCGTCAAATTTTGAGGGGAGACTGAATTGCTCTATAGCTCACGTGACACAAATTCCTGTCAAATCTTGCGGGGAAATTAAGTTAACGTGTAGGTCACATGATGTCATGTCACGTAACACATTTTTTCCGCGAAATTTAGAGGGAAAACTGGGTTGGTGTATAGGGCACGTAACTTGAAGTCACGTGACAACAAATTTCCCGCTAAATTTACCAGGGAAATGGAATTGGCGCATAAGGCTTGTGGTAGGTCACGTGGTATTAATGTTGCCGTTAAATGTAGCCGGAAAACTGAATAAGTGCTTAGGTCATGTGACATCAATTTCCCCCCAAATTTAGTGAGATATTGGCGGACGGGCGTAGGGACGGACAAAATTTTAAAATTAAATGTAGGTTTTCTTCTTTTATTTATTTATTTTTATTTTGCGGGGGGGGGGGGGGGGGGGCTGGTTAAAAGCATTTTATGCATTAAAAAACGTTTTGGGGCTTAGTGTCCTTAAAGTATTGTGCCTAACTAGCTAGATGTCGAAGGTTTCTTTGCGTACTGCTCCTGATTTTAATGCAAAAATATCAACTGTAGCATGGAGCGAACCGACGTCAACAGCTTTGAAGCCGCGCCAAACGGCCCCTCGCCCTGTCCCAATGTCGTCTGCAGCAGAAATTTGATGGAAAGGCTCCCATTCACTGGCGTGTCATCAAGGAAAGAGGCTCCCATTGGCTCTCGTGCGGCTAGTTCCAAAAAACGCCACCGGAGAAGCCCTCTCCATGACGGCGCACTCAGCGGCCTGGTCACCGTAAAGCATTTGCATTCACAACTCATAAGAAGTGATTATATGTCCTCGAACTTTTTTTATGATGTTGTGCAATTCCATGAGCTATTGATAATAAAGTGATGATGTCGGTGAGGCCATGCTTCTCTCTATTAGGCTTTTTTTTTTTTTTTTGCGGCCTCTTATTTGCCAAGAGGGGGAAACAAAATGTCGCGCGGTAATGTCGATCTAGGTACACTTTAAAAAAAGCCCGTGCGCCTACTTACCCGCACAACACTCGGAGAACCAATCACCGCAACTTACGGAGGCAGCTCAGCGAATAACGATGCCGAAACATATGTTTAGATCAGACTACGCAGTCTGAGTTGTGACATTAAGCAATGCAAGCGTGACGTTTTGCATTGCTTAATGTCACAACTCAGACTGCGTTTTTTGGCCTAAACATATGTTTCGGCATTGTCATCCGGTGAGCTGCCTTCGTGAGTAGCGGTGATTGGCCCTCCAAGTAGTGTGCGTGAAAGTAGACGCAAGGGCTTTTTTTTAGAGTGTATGATTCCTCCTTAGATCTAGGGCCCTCGGTTATCTGGTACACTCTAAAAAGAGTGTGCGTCTACTTTCACGCACAACACTCGGAGAGCCAATCACCGCACCTTACGGAGGCAGCTTAGCGAATGGCGATGCCGGAACATATGTTTAGACCAAGAACGCAGTCAGAGTTGTGACATTAAGCAATGCAAAACGTCACGCTTGCATTCCTTAACGTCACAACTCAGACTGCGTTTTTTTGGTCTAAACAGATGTTTCGGCTTCGTCATTCCCTAAGCTGCCTCCGTAAGGTGCGGTGATTGGCTCTCCGAGCGTTGTACGTGAAAGTAGACGCACAGGCTTTTTTTAGGGTGTAGGTTGCACGACACCAATGCTGGAGCCTTGTTCAAGTAAGTAACACCGTGAGCACGCTAAGCGTACTCGCTCTTCCTCGCGTGAGTTGAAACATGGTGACGCCAGTGTGGAAATAGCCCCCAACCACTTCCAGTTCTGAACTAGAAGGCGGATTTCGTGCTATTGGCGAAGTCAAATATGCACGCTGTCTTCAGGGAATAGCCACTTAAAGCACTGTCAGTCTTAATTCACTCGTATAATAAAAGAATGGTGAGTAAACAACTAGACAATATACTTGAACCGGAAGTGTGCCAGGAACCCCCTATAGATGAAACCACTCAGTTCGTTGACAAAAAAAAAAAAAAAAAAAAAAAGGACGAATAGGCGAGCTTTTCACGATGGCCTTCTTTTATTGAAGTCTCGCGTTCTGCGAATGATCGCGACACAGAAGAATACGTCAATTTTATTTTCCTGCCGTTTTAATAATCGTCGTGCAGAATTGTTAATTAATATATGAAGCAATATTTCATAAAAAACCCAAAATAAAAATGTCTGCCTTCTTAGCATATTTTGGCGGCGATTAGCCGATCATGCGTGAAAGACTTGATCCCCGGTATCAGCCATTGGTGGTGAGCGTATCCATTTCATATTCCGCAATGAATCGCCAAGGAACTAAACGGCAGCAGAAAAACAAATATGTTCGTATATGCCTGATTTTTTTTACCGCATGTTCCTATTACTAGAGACATATCTTTAATAACTGGGACATTAAATATCCCGTTAACCTAAGACATAACCGTGGATGGAAAACAATTAGAATGAGCTCTACCGCTATTATATTTCTCCTTCTCTCCATCCCTGCGTAAACTGCCGCACGTTTATTGGCGCAAGATAAAAAAAATGGTTCTCCGGTTCTTTTCGATAAGCGGAACATCGTATACGTCGCCAGCTAGTCAAAAAAGCTCATTCACAGCGATCTATCTCAATCTTGGCGACGGGTCGCGCTCTGTCAACATCATATCAAATTTTGAACTCAAACATGAAATACCGAAATGTTTTTGTTACCTGTGTACATAGTTTCCTTCGCACCGATATGAACTTATTTTGAACAGTTAGCACATTTTTCTGCCCCGAGGGAGAAGCAGTGGAGGAATTAATAAGAATAAGAAACCTAGAGAATCGCTGGTGTATAGGAACATAACAAAAACGCGAATGAAGCTGAATCTGAAAATATAATATTTCCAAGCACGAAGTAAAACATACAAATGTCGTTATTGAGCCTGAAGGCAGGGGAAGATTAGATTTGCCGAATGGCTTCAGTTGCTAAATGATGGTACTTGAAAAGTTAAAACGACCACAAAGATACGGGGGAAAAAAAGTTTTTTTTTCTTGTTTTTTTACATTCATTGCCAGGAAAGTAGGAGAACTTAAAATTAAAGACGGAGTCCATTTATTTTTCCGGTTTTCTGTGTCATCGAACGAAGTAACGTCGAACAGGAGAAATTCGAAATTCGAATAACTGCGCAGGGAAAAACAAGATATGATACTCTTTAGAAGTTGGCCTATAAATAAATATCTTAAAATAATATATGTTCGAAAGTGTGCGTGTGTGTGTGTGTTTTTTTTTACAGAATATTGGCTAGCGGTATCTCTACTATGAAATGAAACTTATATGAAGATAAGTTTTGATGTATCGTACCACAGCAGAACACTCACCGAGGTGTCCAAGGCGATACATTCGAACAACCGTTATAGCGGGGCAAAGAAGGAGTTAAAAAAAAAAAATAGCCGACTGAATCATTGCATTCCGGAATAATGATCTGCGAAGAGTCAGTACGTCTGAATTACGAGATAAGAAAGTAAGGCAGTCATCTGACGTTTTATTGCCGCCATAACCTCTGCACCCCCCCCCCCCCCTTTCCCTTTTTCCCCCCAAAATCCTTCGCATATTTTCACTTAAAGAAACTAACGGTTGCAGAGATAAAAAATACTTCGCTTTATAAAGATATATTTCACTTGGCCCAAAATGCATTTTTTATGTTAAAATAAAATAACTGTGACTTCGTGAATATCAGAAAGCGCAAGGGCCTCACTCCACTATTTTGCATTTATGTTGTCTGAAGATTCAGAAATGCCTCAACGACATTTCAGCTCGCTTGTAATAAACAAAAAAAACAAAAAAAAAAACAGGGATTAGAACGTTTAGATTTTAAGTATCATATTAAGCGTTTATAATGTGCTTTAATTTGGGGGAAACAATTCTTCGATGTGCTATTTACATTAACTTAGCAATTTAAGCATTATTTTTGTAAGCTAGGTTGTTAGTAAATTATAATAACTGGCATATTAAAAGAAGAAAAAAAAAACGCTGGGGCGTGGTGTATAGTGTTTGCGTTTCTTGCTTCATGATTTGTTCCTCGACGTCCTTAATCTTTTCTGACGATGACGCTGACTCATTTGATGCGAAGCGGTGATAAGAGACTCGAAACTCGCTCTCCGTTCCTTAAGAAAGCATCGAGAATAGAAGAAAATACGACTGTAACGTATAGCATCGTAAAGTGAGTGAGTGAGTGATTTATTTGCACTTAAATTGGTGCGCACACGGCGGCGTGCCAGGCAAGGCAGATAGGCAAAAACCCTTACGCGTGTGCGTCTGCCAGCCTGCCGCTGTGTGCGTTGGGAGTTACAGCACTACCCAGCTTTAGAAGCGTTAAAATTATGATGGAAGTGATGATGGAGGTGGTGGTGATGACGATGATGTTGCTGATGACGATGGCGATGGTGATGATTATGATTCAAGAAGAAGAGGGGGTGAGGGAGTGAAGATCATGATGGCAGCAGACGCGAAGGCATTAGTTTAGCGAATACCTTGCAAAGTTCCCGGGATTCATCGTGCGACGTGGGCAGAGGCCTACGAGAAGCTAATGGTATGGTCAAGAAGTCTCTAATGGCGGCAGGCAGCAGGGATTCAGTGTGACGAACAGTCCTGCCTCGAAGAAGTTCGGGCTGACCTGATCTTCTACCGAGACGTACGGCTGCCGATAGGCGAGTGCCCAAAAGAGATCCGTCGAGCAATCGGCACAGCACGCGAACTCGAGAAATCCGCCGTCTCTGATCGAGGGGCCGCCAGCCAAGGGTTGTGAGCCGTGTGTGGTGCGGCACGTCGGTCGTGCCAGGGGACCAGGCGCAGATTTTGCGGGTTGCGCGGCGCTGCACACTCTCCAGTCTCTCGATTAGGTGTTGTTGAGGGGGAGACCAAACTGCAGAGCAGTATTCCAATGAGGGCAGGACTAAGGACGTATATAGTGCCTGCAGGACCGCCGGCCCACCTGGCCTTGCGACGCGGGTGATGAAGCCAAGCGTCCTGCGGGACTTCGCGATAACGCCGGCAATATGTACGGAAAAATCCAAGTTTTGGGAAAACGTGACACCCAAGATGGACAGGTTGTCTGATGCGGGTAAGGGAGGGCCTTCTACAGTATATACAGGGCTTGTCGGTTTTTTGCAGTTCGAGAAGCGTATCACGGAACTCTTTGATGCGCTCAGGCTTAGGTGTTGTCTCGAGATCCATCTCTCTATATCTTCTAGATAGCTTTGCAAGTGACGTGCGTCAGACTGGGACGAAATTGTCGTCGCGATCGATGTATCGTCTGCGTATTGCACTAGAATACACTTGTCGTTGCGTGGCATGTCGTTCACGTACATGAGAAAGAGCGTCGGAGCGAGGACAGAGCCCTGTGGCACTCCTGATGAGATGACCCTCTCTGTAGAGCGTGCCCCACAGTACACAACTTGTTGGCTGCGGTTCCGCAGAAACCTTGATATCCAGGTGAATAGGAAACCGTGTATGCCTGCGTCTGTGAGCTTCTCAAGCAGGAGATTAATGTCGAGCGTATCGAACGCATTGCTTAGGTCAAGTTGGATTAGATCTGTCATGGTTCGATTATCCATGTGATCACTGATAAAATGGGTAATAGTTGCCAGTGCTGATTCGCAGCTGCGACCTCTTCGAAAGCCCTGCTGACTGTCGGAGAGATAGCCGGATTCTTCAAGGTGGTTGATAAGCTGGCCGTTGACTATCCTTTCAAATGTTCGACAGACAATCGAGGTGATTGACACAGGACGGTAATGTTTTGGTTCATTCGTCGGCTTCCCTTTTCCTTTGTGTAGCGGAGTGACCAAAGCTCTTTGCCACGTTCCTGGCACAGTACCGCTGTCGAACAGCCTTTGCAGAATCTGGCACGTGGTCGGTAGCATTAGCGGACAGAGCCGTTTGAACCACGTCGGCGCGATACCGTCTGGACCGCAGCTGTGAGAGGGCTTGATTTTGGAGAGCGCCTCCTGTAAAGACTCGGTTGTGAAGGACACAGTGTCATGTTTCGACTGGGCGAGGCTTCCCACCCTTGTTGTCGAGGGTCGCGCTCCGGGGATGTCGGGGGCATCAGCGTAATGCTCGTTGAGCAAAATCAGTCCAGGGTGATTCGGGGATGGGCCATTGTTGTTTATGGAGGAAAAGTAGTCGGCGAAAAGATTAGCGATCTCTTGTGGGGAGTCAGCCATCTTGCCGTGGACGACGAAACATGGTCGCTGGGATGAATGGCGTAGGGATCTAGTGTAGTTCCAGAAGACTTTCGGATCTTTCTTAGCTCTTTCAGCAATATCGCGAATGTAGTTTTGGTGGGAGATGTAGATCGTAGCCTTAAGTGTCCGTTGGTGATCTTTTGCCAGTTGTAGAGTGGCAGGACACTGGGATCGGCGTGCCCGCCGAAACAATGATCGCTTGATTCGCGCGGCCTTGATGATGTCGGCTGTGATCCACGGCGAGTGTTTTCGCTTTGATGAGCGGACGGAGCAAGGAACACATTCCTTCTGAATGGCGACCATGAAGTCACACCACAGGTCATAGTTGGATAACCAGTCTGATCCTGCGGAGGTCATACACCACGGTGCCAGGTGAGCCAATCGCACCATATGATCAAAGTCAAGTTGCCGGAACCCCCACAACATTCGAGCGTAATGCCCTGTGCGCGGCAATGAGACTGCGTAGCGAAGTTCCACGGCTTTGTGGTCACTGCCGTGGAGGCCTTCCGATACGTCAACGGCTTCGAGGCTCGTCTGGTTGGAAACGAGCACCAAGTCAAGAAAGCTTGGTGTACCGTCATGGGTCGTATACGTTGGTTGCTGGCATGCTTGGGCCAGGCCAGCGGCGCTCATAGTCTCAAGGAGGACGTCGTCGGAACGGTCGCGAGGGACTGGGTCCCCGTAAGAAAGCCAGTCAATGTGCGCATTGAAGTCGCCGAAAAGAAGTATGTTTGCATAAGGTTTAGATGCGGCAGATTCCAGGGGTGCTTCTAGTAGTCTATAGGCTTCCTCTCGTGAAGCGGGCGGGCAGTAAATGCAGCCCACAAGGATGGTTCCACGAGGGAAAAAAAACTCAACGAAAAGCGCTTCGAGGTCCTTGTGTTCGAGGTCACAGCGGCGATTAACGTGGATGTTCGATGGAATCGCCATTAGCACACCTCCACCTCTGCCACCTCTGTCCTTGCGAAACACGGTGTATGAGTCGAGAGGAAGTAACTCGCTGTCGGCGACACTCGCGTCAAGCCATGTCTCGGTTAGCAGGATGGTCGAATACGGTGGGAGGGAGGAAGCAAGTGACTGAAGGTCTAAAATCTTGTTTTTTACACTGCGGCAGTTATTATACCAGAAAGTGGAAGATCTGTTAATGCCCGTTGGCTTTGAGTGCACAGATGCATCGGGCATACTGGTTGTGGCACTGTGGTAAAGTTTCCGCCCTAGTGCAAACATCACACACAATGGGCCACTCGGCGTTAACCTGTACGCGCTTAATCTGTTGGTCATCCCACTTCAAAATGAACAACAAAATTCGACCTAGCAATGTACAGGACTCATTGTTGATAGCGGAACAATGCCGCTACAAGATGCGTCTGCTCTCTCTTGTCTCAGTAAAAAATATTGAAAAATTATTGTTTTCATTTTAATAGTTTGACGCATGTCTTTAAAAAAAAATATCGACTAAGTTGTAGGAACTTTGACGAGACAAAAACTGTAAAGTGTACATTAGAATTCTTAAAGCCATTGTCTTGGCTTTATGTTAGGCTGAGGTTATATTAAATTCCCCTTTGGCTCGCATAAACAAAATTCTTATTTAGTTGAAAATACGTTTTTATTCTATAATATATATATATATAATATATTTATTTTCAATAGTGGGCAAAGGCAAGTTGTTTAATTAACATTTTCAGGTAACAAGTACACATCTAAACTCACCTTTGTTGTCACATTTCATTCCGTGGCTTGCAATGACTATTTTTTACGATTTATTAGCAGAGATGGCTGGATTTATTCGCCCACACTTTGTAAGACCACCTTTTGAGGTGCATTTTTAATATATTATTAGCGAAGAAAAAAAAAACAACGAACGAGGCATGCTGCTGAAACTTCCCTACCGGAAAGAAAGGAATAACTCCGAACCACAGTTAAATAAAGCATCAGTGGTATGCATATACGTAAGAACAATCGATAAGAACAAGCTTGCCCGTTTTTCCCGCCCCGCTCTCTCCTGTGATGATGACGCACTGATCTTGATTGCGGTCCCGTAGAGATGTGTAGGCGTCATCCGCCACTGCATAGCTGCAAGGATGGAGCACAACATCCAAACACTGTAAGTCACCAAGTTATTGCGTCTTCGTGCATTTTTTTTTCACACAGGAATGTTGAGCGGTCACTTTGCTTACTATAAAAATAATGTCCCAAATACTAAAGATAAGCAGTCTGTGAGTTAACTTCCTGCAGAGCGCGAAGACATCCATTCACGGCGAAGGATCCCAGAAAACTAAGAAGCTCAGTATATAAGACTAGTTCTGAAAAACGCGGTGTGCACAAGGACCATGATCAAGTGAAAGATCATGCTCAATACCTCTGCGCACACCCCATATTTCTTTTCTTGTCTAATCGTATTTCAAGCCCCGTCATTGGCTGGGGTGCTTCTATGGCTCGCCGTGATTGGCTATCTCCGTGTTCTGCCCGAAAGTGAACTCTGAGACTTAGTATTCTTTTTTATGGAGTGCACTGTGTCTGTTCAATTTCTGTTTTAAATAATGCCAAATATTGCTATCGAGATGATCTTTGTGAGGACGCAATTTTCGCAAATTTTACGAAACGCCTACAAATTGCAAAAAATAGGTCCCGCGACCAATTCCGGTAAAACGCAAAAACATATCGGAATCTATATTCAGATCCTATCGCGTTGCAAAAATTATAACCTGCACATTATTCCAAAACTTGAGCTTTGACCTAAATCGCGAAATATTGAGCACGTGAAAAAATAGGTATTTAAAACTAAATGACACGTAAAAATTTTCGCATCGTAGTTTTAAGGAACGTTTTTCTTGTGCTACTGAAGTAAATATAGTTACGGACAGCCAGGCAATGAGATTCCGACTTTAGCCGGTAGGGACGCCCAACAGCCAATCACAAAGCATGAAGCCTGAGCATGATGAACCGCACCCTCCTTTTCTTCATTTGTAAGGGATTAAAGTTCCTCGGTACATCCAGAAAAAAACGAGAAAGGTTTTAACCGCTGTTATAAGGGACACAAAGCTTGCGCGTGACATCATTCCCGGTCATGCCGCCCAGAGCGGTCGGTTCGCCGTGTTAGCTTCACACCGCAGAAATTGCGGTTCGAAGAAACCGGTAAGTATAAATAGCTATCAGTATCTAGCAATGGCGACACTTGCAAGCTATGTATACATATGTTTATTTGTACACACAGTCGCGCAGCATTTGTGCTCGAAAGCTTTGCTCTTTGAACACATCAATCTCACTAGTCGCGGTTACGTGCAAGCGACCATAGTGGCATCGATTTGAGATATGACGTCCATGATTGTGTGGAAGAGAAAGCACCAAGGGGACTAGGAAACGAATGATATTGGTTCCCCCTCAACTCGATGAGCTGCTGTCACATCCATGTAAACGCGACGACTGAAAGCTTCAACAACGCAGGGCGTGACTTACTATATGTTTAGGCTTCTCGTAATTCGTACTTCGGCATTTGTATAGGCCAATGCCGCAATCAGAATGGTTGCGGAGTGTTAATAAAATGTTCAGTTCTCGCCTCTCCCAGCAATTCTTCAGCTGTCCCCTGACTATACTCCGTCCACCCTTAAGCTTAGACTAAAAGCTCCGCCTTCAGCGCGAACACGCTGGGTTCCGCTATAATTTGGTTGCGCGTGCCTGCGTGTTCACGATTGTGTTAATGAGGGCAGAAAGCTCACGATGAAGGCGGAGATTCTAGTCCAAGCTTAAGGGTAAGCGGGGTAAGAGAGACGTTGGCGCTTCTCCCGCTTACGCCATCCTTTTTTTGAGGGGTCACTGAGAGTTATAACAGCAACACACATACCGAAGCACAATAGCGAAAAGCAAAAGTTTTTTTTTTATTTTTTATTAAAGTTACATTTGAACTATCGCGGTGGATGATTCCTGCTTCGAGTTCTCTTTGAGTACTCGGTGATTTAAAGTCTCATGCGGCGTATAAACGCTGTCGCCACTACCTTGCGGCACTTAAGAAATCTTCGTCTATTGAATGGAAAGCGCCGAATGAACAAGGACGAAGATGGGGACAGAGACGAAGCGCACTCACAACTGTCGTCTAGTTTTACACAAAAGGTATTTAAGAGACTCAATAGCTGCAATCTACGGAAAGGGCTCGACAAGCGACAATGCTGAAAATATGTCTTGACCTATACAAACAGTCTGCGTTGTGAGAGTGAGCATGATACTCGATGTCACAGCGCAAACGTTTTTTATTTGTCTTTTTTTTATTTTAGGTTTAAGCATATTCTTAGCGTCGCCATTTGCCTAGATCCCCTTCATAGATTGCAGCGATTGGCTTTCTCAAGTGCCCTGCGAAGAAGTAGCACTCTGTGTATTTTCTAGAGTGATGCGTCGTGACTCCGGACAAACAAAGCGACGGTTACGCTTTTGAGCTTTCCTCTACAAGTAGCCGTATACTTACATGTGCGGGGGTAGTTCGAACATGCTGCACCTCTGGTAGGCTTGAATCACGTCCGGGGAGTACAGTGCCAGCTTTTTGTACGGGTTCACGGAGACCACTACGCTGCCAATGTACGTCTGCAAAGCGGAAAGGGGTGTGCAACGGGTGAGAATGGGACAAACGTCTAGACTTTTGCATATGTTCCCTTTCACTTTAAAGGGAAGATGACGCACTTTTGAGGACATTTGAGTTGGGAGCGGATTTTTATGCAGAGCTCAAGTAGTCCGCTTCTTGCGCAGGAGTTGCAGTGACGTCAGAACGACGCCGAGCTTTGATTGGCTTTGATTGAAAGGATAGTGGGTAGACTTCAATGCTAGATGCCTTCAGGTCTACCCACCATTCTTTTCAATCAGCCATTAAGAGCTCGGCGTTCTGGCATCAGCTCTACGCCTATGCAAAAAGCAGACAAAATTGCGCTCCATAGCTTTTCGTCACGTGAATTCAATTATCGCACATAACTTCCGAAAAAGTAAACTTACATCTAATACTTTTTTGAGAAATGCGCGAAGCGATGGTAGCGGGGCATGCGGCAAGCCTCTCTACCGCCTGCTATCTGCGGTTACGTCATAGTTGGCATCCCTGATGACGACGAAAGAGAAATAACACAGAGAGGCGATTGGACCTGTCTCATAGAACTCCTCTCACTCTTCGGTTTTTCTGCCGCTTCGTTTGGCGTCGAAAGTTTCTACGAAGGATTAGAAGTTCAAGGATCTCGCTGATAATCAATTCTTCAAAATCGAGTGAGAAAACTATGACTCATAGACAAATAATTACGACTACCGGTGATGGCGGCAAGCCATTCCGGCGGCCGCCAGTATTAGGCCGAATTGGAGGAGGCGAAGCGTCGTCCACGGGGCCGGTACCCGATGACATCATGACCTCGAGTCCAGTCAGCAGATCAATCGCAGCTTCGTGAGCGGCGGCCCATCGATCATTATGGCGAAAACTTTGAGAATGGAGATAGAAGCCAACAATCCGCTAGGCATAGCCAGCAGTTTAGAAACCCGAGGAATACGGGGATCCTCGGTGTAAAGAAACGTAAAGGGAAAGACTTGACAAAGGAAGACGTCATTACCGAGGCCAAACAAGAGGACATAGAAAGAAGCGGCTGCAGTGACGAATACGGCAGTAATAACGAGGAGTGGCGAATTCCCACTATCACAAGAAAACGTTTCAGCGCAGAAGCCGGCCCAGCCGGCGCCAGCAGCGACATGACAGACCAAGGTACACGGTCATTGTCATGCCCAGCGCGGCCATGAACATCGCCAATACGGAATCGTGGCTCTTGTGGAGCACTTTTCTAAAAATCATAAATTCGCCGTGCGAAAACGACCAGATCGGATAGGCTGTCAACAACGGAAACAACTCCATCGAAGTTACCGTGCGAACGAAACAACACGCCCAGGACCTCATGGTGCTAAAGGGGCTGCCCACTGAGGACCCCGACAAGAAGATAGAAGTGACGGTCTAGAGGTCCATAACCGGCCGCCAGCAGAGAGGACTGATACACGGCGTTTCACCCAGTAATACGTGGTATTGTCGAGAACGCCATAGCGGACTACCATGACATCATCCACGCCAGACCCGTAGCAAAAACGGAACGTACTTAATCACATTCGAAGGCCAAGGCATCCGAAGGAGCCTCCGACTCTTCGGGATGCACCAGAACGTATTTTCCTACAAGCCTACAGAAGTTGTCTGTATACAGTGCCATGGACTGGGGCACAAAGCCACAGTGTGTACGCGCAAGCAACGCTGCAAAACGTGCAGTGTGGTCCACCCGAAAAATCAATCCTGCCAAGGCAAGTACTGATTCAACTGCAAGAAAATTGGCCACACGATTTTCGAAACCGAAGCGTGTTGTGCCAGGAACCGAGCAGACGACAAACTCCAGAAGAGAGCGGCGGACGGTCGACGCAACCCTGGCGACGGCCCAGTGGCCTCCGCTGCAAGAAAAGGCAGGGCCTCCACCCGGGCTCTACCTAACCCGGACGACTTCCCCTCCCTCACACCGCAGCAGCAGCAGCAGCCACAACAGCGCAAGCTGAAACCGACTTACAGCCATGCACTAGTTTTTGAAGGTAATGAACACGACACCTTCCATTTAGGCAAGCCCAATGACTGTAGCAGCAGACTGGCGACGGAAGTAGCTAAACTGAAGGAGAGTAGCAGCAGAAGACTGCAGAAGATGCAACGATTAGAAGTGGAGTACGCAAATCAACTCCGGCAGGAACAAGAGACCCGTCGAGCCCAAGACAAGGCCACGGCCGAAGCTGACCGAAAACGGAAACAAGAAGCCGAGCAGTGACTTCGAATCGAGCAACAGAAGACCGACGAAGCACGTCGCCAGACCCAACGCTGCCCCCGTCACTTACAAACGAGTCCTGGTAAAAAAAGAAAAAAGAAGCCGAAGCCACAGCCCCCAAGGCTAAATCAACAAACGGTGAAGCCGCTGTGGCCACACCACAGCAAGATCGACAACAGTACCCGTCGCAGAACAGAACTAGTAGAGAACATAATACAACACTGGCGAAAACAGCTCCAGCAGCAACTTCAGCAACAGCAACAAGTCATGATACAGCAGATGCAGCAACTACAGAGTATGTATATCCAGCATGAGATAGGGTCGGCGGTCCGGCCCAATAAACCAATCATGAACCAACACCAGAGACAAAACAAGAACGAGAAGACGTTTACCGCCCTTCAATGGAATTGCCGGGGGCTGCGCAGTTCACGTCCGAGCTTAAGTTACGATTACACAAACGAAAGGTGCCTGTGGACGCTATCATGCTTTAGGAAACCCACGAGACTGAGATCAAACTGACCGGTTACATCAAGTACGACCAACCAAGCGTGACGCTTACCGTTAAAGGCAAGACCAGAGTGCAACCGCAAGTCGCTATTTTGGTTCACAAAGAACTACCCCAACAGCAAGTGGACACGCGAGATAGGTGCAGTGACTTGCAAGAGGTAGTGGCAGTCCTGGTGGAGAGCGAGTGGGACGGCCCGTTCCTGGTGGTGTCAGTGTACTACCGACCTAGGACCCCGACGGCAAGGAAAACGAGAGCAGAAATCGACCACGGCTAGGTGGAAAAAATACTGGACGAGATGGGAGATGTCTTCTTCCCGCAGCCAACCACCAGCCTGGACCCCAAAATTTATGAGCCCGAAGAATCGAAAGCCGAAGGGTACGAAGCGGATTTTACTATGTGGGAAATGGAGGCAGCCATCGAGAGGGGCAACGAGCGGAGCTTGGCGGGCCCCGACGGGATTCCCAACTTTATGCCCAAGAACCTCCCGGAGGTGGCCAAGCGAAACCTGCTAAAATCGATCAATTACGCCTCGCTTGAGGGAAACATACCGATCAAGTGCTAACCATCCTGGGTGTGCCCCATCCCCAAACCAGGAGAGAAGCTGACTGTGCGAGCAACGTGCGCCCTATTTCGTTCACATCGATTAGAGAGGTAGGGTGGTGATTTGGGCCAGTTGGTAACAGGTAAACATGATGAAAGAACAGCCTCAGATGAACAGGGACGAAGAACAGGTAATAGTAAAGAGGAGTATAGCTGTTTCACGCCTAGGGTCGGCCCTCAGGAAGTCATGTGTGCACTCGATGGGAGACAGTTTCACGGGGCAAGTGAATAGACTCAAGACGTCGGGGTTTCCGTTGAGCCTTTTGGCTGAGGTTGCGAGCTCGCTGCCGAAACAAGCAAAAGGCATAGAGAAGAAAAAGGCCCGCCGTGGAGACAGGTCAGAGAGTGGTGGTTTTCTACCTTTATCGCCTTTCCCACAATCTAAAACAGGTCGGAGGACGATGCGGGATCCCTGTTGTGTTTTCAGCGCCACAGAAAATGAGTCAGGTATGCGCGAGGGTTAGTGCAGGCGCGGAAAAACGTCCGCAAGCTAAGTGCACAAAGAAGCACAAAACACCGTTTGTGACTTGCACAACGGGTGTCGTCTACCGAATACCCCTATCTTGTGGAAGATCCTATGTCGGTCACACAGGAAGGCGTTTGAACGACAGGCTGAGAGAGCACGCGTACTCCTTGAAAGCAACGGTAGGGGAACTTCTACCGCTACATTGCAGAGATTGCTCTTGTCTACCCTCTTTTGGTGACGTGACTGTTGTGGGCAGACACAGGGAAAAAATTACTCGAGAAATAAATGAAGCTTTCATAATCTCTTCGATGGCAGACAGATGTGTCAGTGAGCCATCGGTGGCGCTCTCTGAGAGGGAGGTACAGTATCTGCAATCGAACATGAGTGTAAAGTTTCGAAGCGATGTATCTGCACATCTGGTTGATTGGTGGGCTTGTGTTTTTAATATGTATCTCTGCAATCTGTCTAACAAGTTCCTTTGATTCAATTTTCCTTCAATAAACTTCAGTTGCGAGTCAACCGTTATCCTGTGTTGTCTTTACCTGTTCTTCGTCCCTGTTTATCTGAGGCTGTTCTTTCATCATGTTTGTCTATTTGAGAGGTTTAGTAGATCGTGTTTTCAGGCCACACTATTTGTAGTGGGAGCTCGCGCTACCACTTCAATGTGTGCTCTGAAGCGCGTGCCCGTAACGATAGCGGGCCTTCGAAAACGAACTACCAACACTCACTAATCTCAGCGAACTAAAGGAGCGTATGGTGCTCGCGCGCATTGACTGAATAATCGAGCCTAAACAAGAAGTGGTGCATCCCGCCCAGACAAGGTTCCGCAAGAACCTTGGTACGCAGGAAGGCGTAGTCTTCAATCGCTAGTACTTAGTGAACCGGTAGGCGCATTGCCACCGACACTTCTGGTGGCAGGGGACATTAAAAAGCTTTCGACACCGACCTCACGCGACGGTCATTGACATGGCCCAAAACCTTGGCGTGCGGGACAGACTTCTGAACTTTATCAAGGCCTTCCTGAGCGGACGAAAATACCTAGTCAAAACCGGCAAGCACTGCAGCAGCGAAGAGAAGACGAATGAAATAGGCGTGCCACAAGGGGCAGTGCTCTCGCCGGTGCTCTTCAACCTAGCGATGGCGCCGCTCCTGTGGCGGCTTGCCGTCGTTCCGGACTTGGCATTCACAGTCTACACCG